TCATCACTGCGAGAAGAATGACACTTAATACGCTGCCCTGAGGCACACCATTGTCCTGTGGATACCTGTCGGATTGATAAGAACCAACACGCACCCGAAAGAATCTGTCAGTCAGAAAGTTTTGTAAAAACTTTCCCATGTGACCACGGATGCCACAATCGAGTAACTTCGTCATAATTCCATGTCTCCATGTGGTGTCGTAAGCTTTTTCTGTCAAAGAAGATGGCGCCGGTATGACGCTTGCTACTAAATCCGGCTCGCACTGCGGTATCAAGAGTTAAGATATGGCCAATCGTGCTCCTGTTTTTACGGAATCCGCACTGAGCACTCGTGAAAAAGTTCTGGCGTTCTAAAGTCCACGAGAGCCGCACATTCACCATTCTTTCCATGAGCTTACAAAGCGAAGATGTGAGGGCGATCGGGCGGTAGTCAAGAGCGTTCATCCCACTTTTCCCGGGCTTTAAAATAGGCACTACTATTGCCTCTCGCCAGATTGGCGGGAAGTTACCTGACACCCATATGCAGTTGAAAACTGCCAGCAACGCTCGTAGCACACGGGGAGGAAAATGCCGTATCATATCATTGTGGATGAGGTCGGGCCCCTCCGCTACACTACGCAGCGAGCGAATGGCCGCTTGAAGCTTCATCATAGTGAAATGTTTGTTGTACGTCAGGAGGTCACCTGTACAAAAATTAACCTGCGAAGTTTCACATCGTGCCCTGTGCCGCAAAAACCGTGGATCGCAGGTGCCATTTCGGCAACGGTCTGACAGGGCTTCCCCAATGGCTTCTGCCACATAACTTGGGTGAGTGATGTATTGACTTCCCACTCGCAGTACGGGAAGGGAAACTGCTGGATGCAGTCCAGCGATTCGTTTAATGCGGCCCCATACATGTGACGTCGGCGTGTGGCGATTTAGTGAATTGACGTAGCTGCGCCATGATGCACGTTTCGCCTCTCGTTTAGTGTGGCGTGCGGCCGCGCGTGCTTGCCTGAAAGCCAAGAGGTTTAATGTGCTGCTGTGCCGGTCAAAAGCCCTAAAGGCTCTCTGACGTGCACGAATAGCGTCGCGACACTCGTCGCTCCACCAAGGTACAGGGGTACGACGAGGGCATCCGGAGGTGCGCGGAATGCATCCTTTCGCCGCATCCAACACGAGAGACGTAAATTCATCCGTAGTCGGAGTTGCAGAGTCGAAATCGTTGGAGAACGTTTCGTCCAGGCGAGTCTCAAATCCCCTCCAGTCCGCCTTCTTGAAATTCCAACGCTGAGGTCGAGTACCAAGAACAGTACCACCACGGTACCGAACCCAGACCGGAAAATGGTCACTTCCAAGGGGTCCTCTGAAGCATCCCAGGTGAAGTGTGGTACCAACTGCGGACTACAAATGCTCAGGTCTAGCACCGACGATTGTCCGGATGGCAATGTAAAATGCGTTCTTGATCCTGTATTTAAAACGCACAGACCTTCGTCACGCACGAGAGCCTCACATAGCCTCCCGCGAGTGTTCGTGGAAGCACACCCCCACACAGTGTGATGTGCATTAAAATCGCCTAAAACGAGTAGAGGGGGAGGAAGTTGAGAGACTAACTCTCGTAGTCCTCCAGATGGAAATGAAACCCCAGGTGGCAAGAAGAGAGAGCAGACAGTTATGGTGCGGCGGTTGAAATTCCCCGTTGCTGCGACAGCCTGCAAGTCTGTTCTCAATACAAGACGCCGCGTAGGTACGCTTTGGTGTACAGCCAAAAGAACGCCACCGTAAGCAACGGTGTCTGTTGGCATGTCAGTGTGAAAGGTAGTGTACCCTTTCAGGCTGAAGGCCGCATCAGGCGCCAACTTGGTCTCCTGGAGACACACGGCTACCGGGCAGTGCGCGCTTAAAACTGTCTGCAAGTCCTGGGTGCTTGACCTTACACCTCTACAGTTCCACTGTAAAACTGACTGAATGAAGAGGCTTTAACAGCACTGTAAGGTTTTAAAAGAACTCAGCAGCGCTAGAGCCTGGCCCATGGTTGTTGGTTTTGTCGTCAGAACCCGAAGAGATCGGGCGGATCCTGGGTCGGATCCGGGGTCTACCGCCATCTGTTGGCGAAATCGGCCCCGGCGGTCCACGCTTTTCCGGACGCCCCGTCCTAAACTGAGCCGGCGCCGGCGACGCCGTGGTCCAAGGCGGCGGTGGTGGTGGAGCACCCATAGACGGGTCTCTCCGCGAGTCGGAGGGGCCTGAGGGAGCTTCCACACGCTTTCGGGGAGGTGGGACTACCTCCCCCGTGGGAGCAGGCCCGGGGCCCGCACCCGACAGCCGACTGGCTGCCTTTGCCCTCTCCTGCTCCTGAAGGCGTGCACGCTTTGCCTCGCGCGCCCGTCTCTCCGCCTCTTGGCGCTCAAGATTGTCCAGTTTCCGTCCCATCGTCTCACTCAGGGTTGTAGGACGTGATGCTCCTGGGGAGGACGGCTGTGAAGCCGGTGATCGCGCGCTTACTGGCGAAGACCGAGAGGTTCGGCCCCGGCGGGCCACGGTCTACTCATTGCTTTCGGCTGGTGTGGGGTGGGGCGGCGAGGTAACAACTGGCGAGCTGGCCTGTACCTCAGAGGGGGCACAAGGTGCCAACGGGACGGGGGACGACAGTGTTGTCGATGTTGTGGCGTGCACCTGAGACGCCGGTACAACCGACAGCCCGGACGATGTAAGCAGTTTAATGAACTGCGTTCCAGTCACCTGGTCTAAGGAGACCTCAGGTGGGACATGGGCCTTGGCCGCCGTGGCATGATGTCTTAGGGTGACTCAGTTCATATAAGTCCCTTGCTTCCCGAAATGAGATGTTCTTCGTGGTTTGTAGTGCGATGATCTCCTTCTCTCTGGCGTACGCCGGGCATGCGCGATCAAAAGTGGAGTGAGGTTTCTGGTTTTCCCCACAGTTCACACACCATGGGTTCGCTGCAGTGCACTGATCGCTCGGGTGCTCCGGAGAAGCACACTTGCCACATGCTGGCTGGTTGCGGCAGAAATCCCTCGCATGTCCAAACATTTGGCACTTAAAACATTTCATGGGGTTCGGAATAAAAAGGCGCACCTTTACCTTCACGTAGCCTACCCTTACTTCAGATGGTATGTCAGGACGATTAAAAGTCAGCACAATGTTGTTCGTGGGGACCAGCTCCGCACCTCTGCGCACCTTGATGCGGCGAGCATCCGTTACCCCGAACTCAGCGAGACCGTCGACTATCTCCTCATCACTGACATCTCTCAGGTCAAAACAGTTCATGATACCCTTTGACGAGTTCTTTGTCCTATGGACCTCCACAGCCATCGCCAGACACATCCTTTTTCCCCTCCGCATCCCGTACACAGTACACAAACCTATCCGAGGTCCTGGCCCGTTTGGCCTCCTCTCCGTTCTGGGACTCAACCTCGATCCCGCCGTCCTTGAGCTTATCGCATCGGAGCACCTTTCCAAACCGATCACACCCATTTCGCCTTTGAAAGGGCGAAAGGGACGACAACGGCTTCTCGGCGCTTCGAAAAATCAAGATCCGAGGGGTAGGCGCTGACGCACTACCACTTGCAGCCTCAGTCCGCCCCCCTTTCGGGGTGCGGGTGTTTTTTGAGTTTATGGTTGCCATGCGTGTAAGGTTGTAACATTCGGCACCGAGGCTCCCCACCCACCTCGGAGCCCAACTGGGGGACGGCCCACTCACCCAGGGGGTGGTGGTTCCGCCAGGGCTACCCCGGTGCTAAACAGGGCAAACGACGCCTCCCACACGGCCAGGTGTAACCAGGGAGACCCCTCCCTGTCCTGACCGTGGTTCAGCGCCGCCGCCCCTTGACCCCTTAAGCCGCTGCGCGTGGCCAAGCGCCCCAAGCGGAAACCCGCAAGGAGCACCCAACCGCAACGCGAGCGACAAGCCGCTAGACCCGTGTGGGGCCCCTCGGGCCCCCCACGCCCCCGGATATTCTGGCCAAAGTGGAGTGTTGGGACGCGCCGTAACTGACTCGCACGACGTGCTCCTCAGCCACCAGGATCCGATCAACCCGGGGACGTGGGCGAGGGGGCAAGGCGACCCCGATAAAACGAGGATGAGGAGTGGTGATAGGGCCAGATGACGGAGAACAGATAATGGGAAGCGGAGCGGGCGGGACAATGAGCAGGAGCTCACGTACCGGCAGGGTCGCTACGCCCTGAAAGGAACAGCTTGCGCTGTCCAACCGTTACCGGAGCTGGGACCCGAGGGGGCGCTAGTCCCCTACACCGGCCGAACCCGGCGCCCCTGCGGGGCACGATGTATATTTATGTACCCTCATTGTCGTTTTATACCGTGATACACCCCAATATTTCTCCTAAATGTTGGCCTTAGCGTCGGCACTATGTTGCCTAAGTGGCAGTCGTACTTCACCACGGCTGTCCGTAACGCAATCAGGTAAAGCGCTTCTGCCAAAGGCAAGGCGCGTAAGTCACTGCCTCTTGTTTTTTGTTGCTGTTTTTTTTTAAAACTTGATGTGGCTGAAAAGCCACCTTTTGATAACAATGTGTTGTTTGTTTGCTCGCTTAAGGACACAAAAAAAAATTGCAGGCTGTTGTGGTACACGGCATCCCTCCCAATGCAGCCAAACGGCAAATGTCAACCACAGGGTGGTATACGTCGATACCAGCGTCTGGTGTCCCACACTAGGAAGCATGGGTATCGGCTACAGCACCGATCGCAACTACGTTAGCACATCTCCGTAACCAGTTGACCGCCAGCAACACATCCCCACCACTCTGCAATCCTGACGAAGCCTCTGAACTCGAGACCAATCCCGAGTCTGAGCGTTACTGCAGGCTGACATAATTTCCCACGACACGAATAGAACGCTCAACGTTACTTAGCTAAGTATTCTGGGTTGACCCCCCCCCCCCCCCGTAATGTGCCGCTGACACCGCCCTTGAGCCGCGCCACCCGGCCATCTGGCGGCGTCAGCGGGTTTTCTGGCAGCAACACGCGCCTAAACAGAGCAGGGTCGGAGGCCGGCGGCCGGAGGCAGCCTCAGCGGTGGGGCACGTGGCGCGCCGTCCACGCCATCCCACCACTGCAAGAGGTGAGTCGTTTCGCCACGCGCCCGTCCAGATTGTTCAGACGTGCTCATCCCCGAGCGGCGGGTGACACCATCGAGTTGAGCGACCTGTATCGGGCCAGTGCGTCCGCCGAGGTCTGGCTGGTGGCTGCCGCCGCCGCCCGACGCGCCGGGGGCCGCTGGGAGGCCCAGCAGGACACCAAATGACCGTGTGTAATGTAAACACATGTTTCACTGGATAAATGCATTGAAGCGACAGGACCCATTGCACCATAGCGTACGTCGTTCCCCGCGAGAAAACGTCACCCTGCTTGACTGCTTGACTCCCGTAAACAGAACACTGCAATGATTCCACCCCGCACATGTCATGTCGCTGAGCGCTGCCAAACCAGGCACGTTTTGCAGAGGCTGGCGGGAGTTAGCTAGGTCTCAACCTCACTACAGCGCGCGAAGACCGGAGCTAAACACCTCACTGCGCTGTTCCAGTCATGTACCCCGTGGTGTGCATTGATGACCTGGAGCGGTCCGCCCTGGCCCGTCTGGACCAGAACGCCCTGGGCTACTACAGCAGCGGGGCCGACGGAGAGCAGACGCTGAGGGACAACATCGCAGCGTTCCAGCGGTGATCAGGGGAGCTTGTGGGCCGGGTGACCAAGTGTCAGCTTTATTACGCCGGGGAATGGGCGGCAGCATCGGAGATTCAGCTAATTAGCCTCCACGTCCCGCGGGTGATACGCGGACGTGCCAGAGGGTCAAGGGACGCACGATGTCTGTATTATGCCCGGCGCTGGAGGTAACGGCCGACTCCCAAGCGTTACCATGGCAACCACCTAAAGCCCAGCACGCTGCAGTATGTGAGTCCGAATGACGTGCATGGGTGTGAGCAAGTGTTTAATGACGTTCACACAGCTGTAACACTGATGTGAAATGTGAATGGTACGCTCGCATGGCACAAGTCCAACTGTGGACACTCGCCCCCGCCAACACGCCTGCTGCTTTCGACAGGTACCGCCTGCGTCCACGCTGCATGGTGGACATCTCCACCATTGACCTCACACAGACGGTGCTGGGTCACCAGGTCAACATGCCGATCGGTGTGGCGCCGACAGCCATGCAGAGGATGGCGCACCCCGAAGGCGAGTGCGCCACCGCAAGAGGTACGTCGGTACTGAGGGGTACCCGCATACCCAGCGTACCCCTGTCAGGCGTGCGCTCAGACTCGTCCACAAGGATACGGAACAGGGTCGATCTGAACTTTCCCCCACGGAATTGCTGACCTCGGTCAGGTTGCAGAGGCCGGCGTGCCGATACAGCGGCTAACGTTCAAGTAACCGCTCACGGGTAAGGGCGCAACTGACCAAGGTCGCTTTGGAGCGCAATGGCAGCACCTTTTTCAAGACCATTTGGCTTACGGGCAAGAGCAAGTGCCTCCTGGATGCAGGGACACTGGTTAACACATTCCGTCCACGAAAACAAAGTCAAGCCCAAACTGTCGGACCGGAACACCGAAAGTCTAATTTGTCCGAAAATTCCACTACGATACCCAATCGAAATACGACGCTGCGACTAGCCCGCGTGTACGCCTGGCTCGTGGAACTGTCATGAGAAGAAGAGTCGATGATGGACACGCGTCCCCACCACCTTCCAGCGGCGGAGCAGATGGGAACCATCTTCACTCTCAGCACCATATCCACCAGCAGCATCGAGCAAGTGGCAGCGGCAGCTCCACGTGCCACCAAATGGTTTCAGCTGTACGTCCTTAAGGACAGGTAGGACGGTCACCACTAGTTTAGGATGTCGGCATTAACCAGTTTAGCGTGCTCACGGAAGCGCGCCACGAAGCACGCTTCGCTTCCTTTACCGTACGACGAGCAAAAGCTCTCGCCTTCTAAAATTCTATCAGGTTTTCCACGCTACTCCTGGCGTCACAAGTTCGAAGCGCAGAGACAGATTCTCCAAAGTGCGGGTTTTCAAGTGTCACTGTCAAGGGCGAGAGCCAAACTGGTGAGAATATGATTCTAAAACTGATTTCCTCCACAAACTCTATCACAAACTTGATGTCAAAGATCGGGTTTACCACAACGAGGGAGCGCAGGGGTAGTCTGCGCCATGCGCCAGAGGAATGCTGGCGCTCAGCTGCCAACTCGCGGCAATTGACAGGCACGCCGGCAACTAACAGCGGGTGATCGCAGCCAAGACATGTTGGCGCTTGGCCTCCAGACAGGAGAAAACCATGTATTCCGTAGGCACGACCGATACGAAGGTGACTTCATTCGATGCCAGACAGTGCGTAAAAAATGTACGTACAAAGCTATTAAGTAGAACGGTATTCCATAGAAACGGCCGAGACCACAAGACCCTAATTGTCTGTGTCAACGTGCGCACGTTACGTTTCTGCAGAGGAAGCATTTTCACTCCCAGCTCCAGCTAGACCTAGCATATATTCTCATCAGTTGTCGGAGATGCATCGCAGAAGCGCCACAACGCTGACGTAACCACAGACCGCGAGTCCAATGCTCGTTTCTCATTCCTTTAGTGCCTGCTTAAGAGGGCAGCGTCAGTGACTAGCGGGCAGCGTCGTCAATGACCACGCCTCCCTTCAGGGCGATGACAGTGAGAATGGTGCAGCGGGCGGAACGGGCCGGCTTCTCGGCCATCGTGCTGACCGTGGACGCGCAGCTCTTCGGTAGACGGCTGGCCGACGCCAGGAACGGATTCCAGATGCCACCCCACCTCAGGTATGCGGAATTGCCCGGCGGCGGCGGTCAGGCAGTCTGACAACTGTTGAAAGTCGAGACGACAATTCCTGCACTCGAATCTCCGCAAGGCATGCCCCAAAGTTGTCATGAGGGCGAATTAAAGAGAGTATCCCACCTTTCTCCTACTTTTGGCTAATTGTTATATTAAACGTGTGCGATTCCATCAGTAATAGCAGTTTTCTCGAAACCCTTCTATATAGTACAAAATTTGTATTTGAAGTAGCCGCTCTTGCGGGGGAAATCTCATTGGACTCAGCAGTATGAAAGTACCACGTTTCATTTGCCTTGCTTTCCCACATATGTGTTCTGCAATGTTTGCAACACATGTATGCGTCAGAACGTGTGTGTGATAAATGCTACGATCGCTTGAAACACTGCATTTATTTAATAAGATATGTAAACATGAAGCTATTGTCCCGCGAATTCCACGAAACGTTATATTATGGCTTTGATTTCTTCCCAATGCAATGTAGAACAGTGGCTCTTTTCGAGGCGGACTTTGGCTTTGGAAATGGGAGTGTTACATGACCCATATGACGCACTGTTTCAAACTTCAACCAATGCGCTTCTCAGTTTTCAAACTTCAATCAATGCGCAACGTCGCCCCTTGGGTCAATCACAAACGTTCTTTTATTCGCACCAGTAGGGGTGCGCATGGTGGTTGTCATGACGACGGTGGTCACGACTGCAGGAAAGAAGCCTGGTGCTGCTAAAATGTGTTGAAAGCATGCTTTGGACTCGAAAATACTTAAAATCAATAACCTTGCCTTGACATGACGATACTCCAGAGGCACTGCCCAGGGATTTTTTTGTAAGACGTAAGTAGTTCTGAGGCTCCACTTGAGTGTGTTCTTTAAATGTACCCCAAAGGTGGGACACTCCCCTTAAAGCTAATGTAGGACAATGCCATACTGTGGAATGTGAGCGCGCCTTGCTAGATTGCGCCTTCCACAGCATGGCCAACTTCACCGAAGAGCTGAAGAACACTGTCAAGGGCTCAGGAGAGCAGGCTTCGGGCATAAACAACTTTGTGCAGACCCTGTTCGACCCGTCACTGACGTGGGACGACCTCAGCTGGCTGTGCGGCGTCACCCGGCTGCCGGTGCTGGTCAAGGGCGTGATGACGCCAGAGGACGCCGCCACCGCCGTCGACCGCGGCGCCAGCGGCGTCATCGTCTCCAACCACGGCGGCCGCCAGCTGGACGGCTGCCTGGCGACGGTGGACGCGCTGGGCCCGGTGGTGGCCGCCGTCGGCCACCGCTGTCCCGTCTTCATGGACGGCGGAGTGCGGCGCGGCACCGACGCGCTCAAGGCGCTGGCGCTGGGCGCGTGCATGGTGTTCGTGGGCCGGCCGCTGCTTTGGGGCCTGGCGCACGACGGAGAGCGCGGCGCCCGGCTGGCGCTGCAGCTGCTGCACAGCGAGCTCCGACTGGCCATGGGACTCTGCGGTGAGCTCCACCACAGTACTGGAGGGGAGCTGATCATGAGACTCTGCAGTGAACTTCTGTACCGGGGCAGGAGGGGAGGTGACCATGGGACTCTGGTGAGCTATAAAAGAGTGCTGGAGGGAGCTGGCCATGGGACTCTGTGGTGAGCTATAGCACAGGAAACCGTAAACTGGCAGCGAATGGGGGCTGCTTGACTCACAGCCCACGTACTGACCAATGCGGTATTTTTCAGGCGTCACGAAGGTGGCTGATGTAACCGAAAAGGTTATCGAGAAATCGGAGCGATCGCACCTGTGACGCACGAGGCTCAAGAAGCATCCAAAGTAACCGAGAAGGTTCTCGAGAAATCGGAGCGATCGCAACTGTGACGCAAGAGGCTCAAGAAGCGTCCAAAGTAAGTAAGTAAATAAGAAAAGGTTCTCGAGAAAGTCTTACAAAAGAAAAGTCTTAACAAGACATGTACCGCATTTTACGGGACGGGATAGTGGCAGATGGTTCGACAATAAAACGGTGCTTTTCTAAACGTGTTTCAAAGCCTGCATAGTCGAAACGTGCGCGTCACGCGTGGCAACAGAGCTACGGCCAACCCAGAGGCACCGGCCAGATCCTTACGTTACGCAAATACCGCCCCAGCAAAAACAGCCCACGGGACGCAGACCCTTTTTCCTACCGATTGCGTTGCAACAATGACCACATCCAATCGCAACGTGTGAGGACAGACACGTTTCCGGGCCTCTGAGATGTACGCGAGTATTTTTTGACGTTAAAAGGAAAATTATAACCCGAGGCATCGTGAGTTTTTCTTGCCAGACAACTAGAATTTTTCTTCAGCTTTCCGCAACAGAGCATTAGACTTCGGGGCATCTATCCACAAGCCACAGCACACAGCCCAAACGCCACAACGCGTCACCCCCACCAATCTCCGCGCGCGCAATGCGACCGTGATCACCTCGATGAAGGAGGTGATCTCTATCCTCGATCTAGTTACCAGGCCCGGACTATCAATACATGTTTTTGCGCTCTGGATGCACCGGACCTTCAACCGCTGACGGCGCCCATGGCAGTGGACATGTTAACGCAGTGTTGCCTGTAAGGCTGCAGCCAAGCATAGCTGTCTGATGTGCGCGCCACGCACCGGCTGCATTTTGGGGAGACCGGCGTCGAAGAAGTGTGCAGTGCGGCGCATTGTTATGTGCGAAATCGCCACGATGTCAAGACGCACGTAAATGGTACTGGGAATCAAGCCCCATGGACACAAGCAAAACAACCAATGATTTAAATAAATTGTTTACGTAGTGGAGACCTGATAAACCCTACAGCATGCAGCTGAGTGATAAAGTGTGGGCGCATGACCAATTAGAAGCGTTTAGTTTGTGTTCGATTTTTTGCATTTCGTTCTAGATCACCGAAAAAATAATTACAATCCCAGTGGCCACAAACCATTTTCTGCAGGTCATGATAGTGATTGTTTCTGTTTCGGATCCTAGTCCTGACATGGCCTGATCCGTCGTTCCTGAGCCTCCTGATCCACATACAAGTATATCATCGACTACTTAAAACCCATCCACTAGCACTGTGCAGCAACAAGTCGATGAGGAAAGGGGAGAAAGTTTCTAGAGAAGTGGAGGCAAACCTCGCCACGGATTGGCTACGACACGGCGGGAGATAGCGTTGTACTCAGTCCGCTGCAAAGGGTCTGCGGAAGTGGAGGCAAACCTTGCCACGGAATGGCTATGACACGGCGGGAGATAGCGTTGTACTCAGTCCGCTGCAAAGCGTCTGCGGAAGTGGAGGCAAACCTTGCCACGGATTGGCTATGACACGGCGGGAGATAGCGTTGTACTCAGTCCGCTGCAAAGCGTCTGCGGAAGTGGAGGCAAACCTTGCCACGGATTGGCTATGACACGGCGGGAGATAGCGTTGTACTCAGTCCGCTGCAAAGCGTCTGCGGAAGTGGAGGCAAACCTTGCCACGGATTGGCTATGACACGGCGGGAGATAGCGTTGTACTCAGTCCGCTGCAAAGCGTCTGCGGAAGTGGAGGCAAACCTTGCCACGGATTGGCTATGACACGGCGGGAGATAGCGTTGTACTCAGTCCGCTGCAAAGCGTCTGCGGAAGTGGAGGCAAACCTTGCCACGGATTGGCTATGACACGGCGGGAGATAGCGTTGTACTCAGTCCGCTGCAATGCGCCTGCGGAAGTGGAGGCAAACCTTGCCACGGATTGGCTACGACACGGCGGGAGATAGCGTTGTACTCAGTCCGCTGCAAAGCGCCTGCGGAAGTGGAGGCAAACCTCGCCACGGATTGGCTATGACACGGCGGGAGATAGCGTTGTACTCAGTCCGCTGCAAAGCGTCTGCGGAAGTGGAGGCAAACCTTGCCACGGATTGGCTATGACACGGCGGGGATAGCGTTGTACTCAGTCCGCTGCAAAGCGTCTGCGGAAGGTGCGCTGCACGCACAGCCACGTGTGGAGACAACACCCTTCGAAGGGGGATTTCGTGACTGGAAAAAGCGGGGGGGGGGAATCCAAAGGACACGAAACGAGTGACTGCCACCGACATGCGGCGTTGAGGCTCCAGCTGAAGACCTGCCGTTGGGTGGGCCACGGCGTGACTGCACAGAAGCTAGGGTCAAGTCGCCACCCAGAAAATGCCAACTCTGATGTCTTCATCCGCATCATACATAGGAAGACAAGGGCTCCCTTTCCCTGGACGTGCGCACAAAGACGGTGCCTTTTTTAACCTTGTGATCGACCGAGCGGTGGCTAACGAACTGAGTGACGTCGTGTAGTTGATCAAAAAGCGGGGTAATTGGATGTCAGATGCCACTCAAAACTATCGCACCTGATCATATGAGATCATTGCTATGATTGGCTGCGGTATCCAGCAAGGAACCATGCATGGGGTCCACAACGTCCCCAGAGTTTGTGGGCGTGGTCGCTGACGGGACCACAGATATCAGTGGCGCCCTACCATTGGGTGTATGCCTGCGGTACGCGAAATCTGACACCGCTGCTTCCGCGAATGCTTTCGTGGGTTTCCATGACGCCCCAAGTAGCACAGGTGAGGTTCTGACAACGATCGTCCTGAATGTTCTGACACGATTCGACGTCTCAGCGACAAAGCTGTCAGGTTTCTCGCAAGGCACTACCACGAACGTGAGTAGAACGCACCAGGACGTACAGAGTAGACTGAAGCCCCTGAATCCTCTGGATGCGTACGTCCCGTGTACTAACCACAGATCGGACCTGGTCCTCCAAGAAGCTGGCGGGGAAGTGCTCCCGGTAGCCGACTGCCTGCAGTATGTCGAAGATGTGGCGAACACAACCAATGAATCGGCAAAGCGCACAAGCCTGTGCAAGCCGCTGTTCCACGAAGGAGAGGTGCTTCGAAAACCCCTGGGGATATGCGCCACAAGATGGTGCGTGCGGGCGACGGCCACGAAACGGATGCTGGATCTGTACCACATAAAGGAGCTGCTGTCGCACCTGGAGGAGGATCGCTCAAGTCGTGGTGAGATGAGAGCTACAATCGCCGGACTATCCCAGAAGGCGGAAGAGTCTCCCACGTACGCCTCACTGGCACTAACCGTGGCCATCTTTCAGCCTCGTGAAATGGTGGCAGCGTCCCTGCAGAACGCCTCCTGCACAGCTCAATCGGCACTGCAGTCGCTCCTCCCGCTCAAAAGCCGTCTGCAGGACCTGCGGAACGGCCGACTGAAGCGAGAGACTGACCAAGCTACAGCAAAGGCTGCTGCTCTGGGCCTAGTCACGCCACCACCAAGAAGGCGCACAAAAACACCTCGGAAGTGCGGCACGACGGCGTAACGGCGAATGACTGCCAGATGTCGTCCAGCGAGGTCTCGCGACTGGCCTCGCTGGAGGCCTTGGACCTGGTGATCGCCGGGCTGGAGAGCCGCTTCCACACCCCTGGTCTCCAGCTCGCCGTAGATCGTGAACAGGCAGTTCTGGAAAGTCTGTCAGGCCAGCAGCTGTCATCGTTGAACGCATTGCAGCTGCCGCCGTCCGTCGATCACGAACGGCTACACTGGCAGCTACCGGTGCTGAGTAGTGGCTTTCCCGAAGCACCGACCTCCATCGCGGAGGTGTGCGAGAAATTATCGGCGACGGATGACACGAGAGGCGGATGTTTAGCGAGGTCGAAACACTATTGTCCCTGATACCCAGTCTCCTCTGCACGGTGGCATCTGCGGAGGCCATTCCCTATGCTTTGGCGTCTGAAGACCCTGCCGTCAATATGGGGCAATCTTGCCTTACCCATCTGGTGCTCATGCATGTTCACAAAAAGAGGCTGCACAATCTTGACATCGAGGAGCTGAAGAAACGATGCGTGGAGGAAACTCCGAGAGGATGCCAACGTTTGGCCGCTGCTAGGTAAGTTCCACAGGCATGACGTCGCTGAAGTAGTGTCACCATCCGCCTGCCACCGTCTCCTTGCGGTTCACATACTCAATGTTGCACAAGGTATGACCCCAAAAGGGCTAGATATGCCGTACTCTGGATGAAATTTCTGCAAGTGCACTACACACATAGGTATGAAGACGCACAAAATCAAGCGATGTCGTCAATCGACCAGTGTGTGGTAAATTAGCAGTACCAATCTCTGTCGCAGCCTCCAAATAGGCATTTTCATCGAGCCACCGGAAGCCTGCCACGTTGCTGAGCATGGAGCTTAACATCCATTCCAATATGTATTTGCATATGTCATTTCATACTAACGCTGGGCCCCACCCAGAATAATTCGGAGCAATCGCAATGGCCAGAACCAGGAAACTGTTCCTGGCTCCGGGATCAACGTTCCCCCAAAATGGCAACATTCTGTCGTCTAAATAAATTTCCAATTCAGCATAAACAAAAAGTTCTGTCAAAAATAGTTCCTATGTCAGGTCTCTGACTAATTTTGACCCTCTCAATGAAATGACTAAGACTATAGGAGAATGTTCTTATTACACTTTCATCGTCAAACATCCTCCGTCAACTCGATGTTATATGTGCGAGACCATAGAGCAATGTATTTAAAATCAGAAATGCCCTGATCTCCCTTTTCTTCGGCATTCTGAGTTTCAGCATTGAAACTAAAATGATGAAAAGAAAAAATATTCCCTCGTGACCATGAGGACCATTCCGAAATGTCGGGCTTTCTTATGATGTATACCAACGCTTGCTTGATAACGGTGAGTCAGTAGCTAAGGGTACATAGACATTGAGGGCGGATCATTTAAAAAATAACTCATAACTCATACTCGTTATGAGTGAAGACGCGAGAGAAATCTGTATATTGATGCGAAATTGCGCATAATTTGCTAACCAGTCGTAGATGGGTCAATGAATGAACCCGTGGTCCGATCGTATTAGACATTACAGCAGGGTGAAAAAAGCTGTAAGGGTGCAAGCGTATGCAAGCAATTTCTTCATGATATTTCAGTGTCAATCGCCAGTTAGACCAAAAACGGACCTCCGCAGAGGTCACCAGTGCACTGGTGCTGATCCCCATAGTCAGAAGTGAGAAAAGCGCAAAGTCGCCGCAGGAACAGCGCATTACCGCAAGATCTACCTCGAGGTGCGGTAGCATATGGGTGAAGCATATGATGGGTGAAGCATATGATGACCGTCGTTAAGATGAAAAAAAACTGTGGCCTCTTAAATATTCCTGGCATTTCGGCATCAAAACTTTCTTTTTAGACACCGTGATCGCGAAAGACAACTGCACTGAATTTAGGGATATGGAGGTTGTGGTGCGCCATGTTATGGTATGTATGAGGGCACGTTGATTTCTTAAACAAAATAGTTGCCTTAAAACAGATCACTTTCTCACCTAGGTGGACGAAATGTTGGGGGCAAAAATGGGGGAAGAAGACCTGTCAAACCATTATTCGTTTGCCGCCCCTCCCCCCCCCCTCCCCCCAACCTGAAGATCGTCCACGCGCCCCTGGTCAACGCGCAACCCCTCCAATGTTTACCGTGCACCGGCCATCCGCTGGAGATTGCAGAGCGCAGTTTCGGGCCGAAACCTCAGCCTTGCGGTACCGACCGTCGCTCCACCAGCGGTGAGCTCTACACACCGCAACGCCACAATCCACGCCCGCCAGGACCGTACGGTGAAACCTTGTACGCAATGAACAGGCCCAGTTTACCAACAATATATATATATATATATATATATATATATATATTATAAGCTACACCCGTGCCCGTGTGTGCGTGCGTGCGTGCGTGCGTGCGTGCGTGCGTGCGTGCGCGCGTGCGTGTATGTGTTCGTGTATGTATGTGTGTGTGTATGGGTATGCGTTTGGGAATGTGCGTGCGTGCGTGCGTGCGTGCGTGCGTGTGTGTGTAAGGCTGAGTGGTTTATCGACCATGCGTCCACACCCGAAGAATACAAAAGCACATTTCAAACAGGAAAAGGCTACACGATAAAATGAAACACGACCGTGCGCCCGTTTAACCTGTTGGGTTTGTCAGTCATGTCCCCCGTGGTATGCATCGATGACCTGGAGCGGTCGGCCCTGGCCCGCCTGGACCAGAACGCCCGGGGCTTCTACAGCAGCGGGGCCGACGGAGAGCAGACGCTGAGGGACAACATCGCAGCGTTCCAACGGTGAGAGAGATCTCCCCAACGTGGCACGACACGGTGTGCGCGGGATACGAATCTGGAACGCGGATCCAATGCCATGTAGAAGTGATCGGAAAAGGTTGGTTCATGTGTGTTACCTGTCAGTGCAGCAACACTTTTCTCTAAGATCAGGATACGTTCATACACGGCGTGGCGATAACGGCCTATGACGGCACGACTGCATTTCTCTGAATGTCTTCATCGATATATTGTTTGTTTAGCTCCTAGTCACCACGTCAGCTGGAGTGGATGCCGCATGTCCCCCCAGGTACCGCCTGCGTCCACGCTGCATGGTGGACATCTCCACTATTGACCTGACCCAGACGGTGCTAGGTCACCAGGTCAACATGCCGATCGGCGTGGCGCCGACGGGCATGCAGGGGATGGCGCACCCAGAAGGCGAGTGCGCCACCGCCAGGGGTACGTAACGCCGCCCCACCGACAGCAGTACGCACGGACGCTAGCCAGAGTACGCCGGTGGCGCACGGGCCGGCGCAAGCGCTAGTGCCAACAAATCGTTCGCTTATGCTCTAATAAATCGATCCCCATGATTCAGCGGGTGCATTCGAAAACTTCCGCCGTGGCGTTAGCGCTGTAGTTAAACCACGCGTTCGACGCTTGATGAAATTTTGTGTCCCACTCACAGGGGTGTCACTTTGTATACTTTTTGGGAAACTGAGCCCCCCCCCCTTCCTGACTTGAGCCCCTCAATACCCTTCTGAACCCCCCCCCCCCCCTCTCACAAGCATACAAGCAAAAGAGGGAATACTGAGTTAATGGAACACAGCAAATGTCTCCACTCTGGTACACTAGGGCCTAGACATCACTTTCCGTATAATGATCATCACATAGCATCACTGCCACCAGCCGATGTCACCATGACATCGGCTTCAAATAGGAAGTAATTTCTGAGCATCACAGCAATTTTCAAACCCATCAAATGTCTGTTCTTTTATTCTAATGTTTCACCTCAGAGACGTTAATCAAAGAGGCCGGCATCTGGGACCAATCCGGATTTGAGGGTAGATCGCGTCAACTGTATAGGCTCACCCCCCCCCCCCCCAATCGATTTTAAAAAGCAGCACCACTGGCTACTCGTGACGTTGATTATCGCGGGACAGAGCAGACTCTCGACCGGGAGCCAGGCCCGAACGGCAGAACCTTCCGCACACGCTTGGGAGCCGAACGCTCGCCCAGCTGAGCCCGAACCGCAAAACCTTCCGCACATGCTCGAGAGCCGAACGCCCGCCCAGCTGAGCCCAAACGGCAGAACCTTCCACACACGCTCGAGAGCCGAACGCCCGCCCAGCTGAGCCCGAACGACAGAACCTTCCACACACGCTCGAGAGCCGAACGCCCGCCCAGCTGAGCCGTACCAACCCCAAATTGAGCTTTCCCGCCACAGCAATGCCCAATGGCGCTCCTGTCCCACATTCTGTCATTCCCCAGCGGCGGAGGAGATGGGGGCCGTCTTCATCCTGAGCTGTGCGTCAAACAGCAGCATGGAGGAAGTGGCCGAGGCGGCTCCACATGCCACCAAGTGGTACCAGCTGTACCTGTGTAAGGACAGGTGAGTTGGTGTCGGTCAGACCACTGACCGGTCCTGCGTTTCGGCTGGCTGGACGACGTCATGCCAAAGAAACAGTGCTGCATCACGTCAGAGCACTTATGATGTGTTAACACCGAGGTCGCAGCTAAGAGACCAATGCCACCGGCTCCACACACCGAGGATGGCTCCTCTCAGTGTCCCTCCGTCCAGGGCGATGACAGCGAGGATGGTGCAGCGGGCGGAGCGGGCCGGCTTCTCGGCGCTCGTGCTCACCGTGGACGTGCCGCTGGTGGGCCGGAGACTGACCATATCCAAGAACGGATTCCAGATGCCGCCGCAACTCAGGTAATGGACGGCCTTCAAGGAACCGCATGAGACGAAGGCAGCGACCGCACAGATGGAGCACACGCGAGAAGTTCGCGAGCGGCAGCAAAGACATCTACATAACCAAACATGTATCACGATGATACGCAAATTATGTTCTTCACAACATGATCTGAACAGAGAAAAGAAAAGCACAAGCGACCAGCGTTTCTTTTTTCTGATAGACGTTTCCATCAAGCATGTGTAGCATGATGAATAAACACATCGAGCCCTAACAGAAACAAACGCAGCCAAAAAGAGACTTCGAAACGGTCTTAAGCGGAGTTTTACATGTTGTCGTGGAATGCGCATTCAACTACCGACCTTCGCAGGCTGGCCAACTTTGCATCAGAATCAACGCAGGCCAATCAGCGGGGGTCCCAACACAGCACCTACGATCAGCTGTCGACCCTGTTCGACCCGTCACTGACGTGGGACGACCTCAGCTGGCTGTGCGGCGTCACCCGGCTGCCGGTGCTGGTCAAGGGCGTGATGACGCCAGAGGACGCCGTCACCGCCGTCGACCGCGGCGCCAGCGGCGTCATCGTCTCCAACCACGGCGGCCGCCAGCTGGACGGCTGTTTGGCGACGGTGGACGCGCTGGGCCCGGTGGTGGCCGCCGTCGGCCACCGTTGCCCCGTATTCATGGACGGCGGCGTGCGGCGCGGCACCGACGCGCTCAAGGCGCTGGCGCTGGGCGCGCGCATGGTGTTCGTGGGCCGGCCGCTGCTCTGGGGCCTGGCGCACGACGGACAGCGCGGCGCCCGGCTGGCGCTGCAGCTGCTGCACAGCGAGCTCCGACTGGCCATGGGACTCTGCGGTGAGATCTACCACAGTATTGGAGGGGAGCTGATCATGAGACTCTGCAGTGAACTTCTGTACCGGGCAGGAGGGGAGGTGACCATGGGACTCTGCGCTGAGTTCTAGCACAGTACTGGAGGGAGCTGACCATGGGACTCTGGTGAGCTATAGCACAGCACTGAAGCGAGCTGGCCATGGGACTCTGTGGTGAGCTATAGCACAGCACTGAAGCGAGCTGGCCATGGGACTCTGTGGTGAGCCGTAGCACAGCACTGAAGCGAGCTGGCCATGGGACTCTGTGGTGAGCTATAGCACAGCACTGAAGCGAGCTGGCCATGGGACTCTGTGGTGAGCTATAACACAGCACTGAAGCGAGCTGGCCATGGGACTCTGTGGTGAGCTAAAGCACAGCACTGGAGGGAGCTGGCTATGGGACTCTAGTGAGCTATAGCAGAGTACTGAAGGGGAGCTAACCATGTGACTCTGCTGTGAGTTATAGCACAGGAAACCGTAAACTGGCAGCGAATGGGAGCTGCTTGACTCACAGCCCACGTACTGACCAATGCTGTATTTTCCAGGCGTCACGAAGGTGGCTGATGTAACCGAAAAGGTTCTCGAGAAATCGGAGCGATCGCACCTGTGACGCACGAGGCTCAAGAAGCGTTCAAAGTAACCGAAAAGGTTCTCGAGAAAGTCTAAGAAAAGAAAAGTCTTAAGATATGTACAGCATTTTATGGGACGGGATAATGGCAGACGATTCGACAATAAAACAGCGTCTCTCCAAACGTGTTTCAAAGCCAGCATAGTCGACACGTGCGCGTCACGCGCGGCAACAGAGCTACGGCCAACCCGGATGGCACCGGCCAGATTCTTACGTTACGCAAATACCGCCCCAGCAAAAGCGGCCCACGGGACGCAGACCCCCTTTCCTACCGTTACCGTGCTATAGCACAGTGTACTGTGTACAGTCATCAAAACAGGCCCAGTTTTAAAACCCTTCCGTGTGGTGGAAACAAGAGGACTGAGGGAGTGGTCTGAGAATACCCCATTGAACTATAGCCAGTGATGTACCATAGCTCTGCAACATCCATTGTATTCTGGTGAGCAGCATTTCTACGCAGACCTAGGACTGACCACTCTCTGTAATTTGCAAGTCACCAGGATCGCTGATGTGACTCGGAGAGTTATCGAGCAATCGAAGCAATCACAACTGTGATGCAACAGTAATGAAGAAACAACGGAGAGTCGTTACGATACTGCATGCGTTAAGTGACAGCCTTGAGCATCACTTTCATTACTGCCTTTGTATATCTGAGCACCATAAAAAAGGATAAAGAAATTGAGTGGAACTGAACACCACCTGAGGTGCCGACAGAGTCCTCTGTTACTGGAATGGGTGCATTGTTGGACAGTCCCAATAGATTATGAGATAATGAATACAACTGCTGTACTTCAGTATGCCCTGTCTTGCTATTCACGCCATTCCAAATGCACGCCCACGATTATGAAAGGGCTACCAACTGCTTCGCGGGGGATTACAGTGCAGGAATGAAGGGAAGCCGATAGTGGGACTTTGCACTGAACCACAGCACAGGAGTGGGAGGAGGGGGACGTCCATGGAACCGACCCGAGCAGTCAACTCCACTTCTAATGCGCTCTGGACATTGGCATCAAGGGGTTTGATCGATGACGTACGCCCAGACACTATCTCATCAATCAAAATCTTGACCTGAACCTGAACAATGTCCATACGCCCGACCCGGCGTGTTCGCTACACATTCACGATCAACAAACGTATGATCTCCGATAGAAACGGGTGAATGAGCGCCATCGCCGCCCGTGTCGTCGAGCGCTTCTGCAACGCAGCGACCCATTCCCGTAAAAAATGGTCTTCTTTGTTGTCTCAGCACAAGGAGGCGAGCAGGGCACTAACGCGATGGTAATAAATCAGTCGACGACGAACAGACGCCGAGAGTTCGATCCGGCCCGCGAGTTTCGCAGACGGAAGCTTGATTCCTGCGCTGCGGCCACCCCTGGAGGAACGAAACGTCACTGGCCTCAAAGCGCCACCCCGAGCCGGACCAACTCGGTCCGACCTGACCCGGAATGCTCGACCGAGGCGCCTCGTCTCGCCTACATCGCCATGTCATGCCTCGCCTCGCCGCGGCATCGCTCGCGGGCGGCGACACGGCGCCGCGCCGCGGTCACTCACTGGTGCACGGGCGTCTGCTCCATGTGCGCGCCGTAGGGCGTGGCTGGCACCGAGTAGGGCGTGGCCGGGTCCAGCTCGCTGTAGGGCGTCAGCGGCGGCGCCTCGTAGTCGGTGGGCGGGCCCTCGTCCATGCGGATGCGCTTGCCGCCGCCCACCTGGCGGTGCATCATCTGGCGGCGCGGCGCGCGGCCGTCAGACGACGGTGGCGACGCGCAGCGGCCGCCAGGGGCACACTCCGGGGCGGCGGCGTGGTCAGCGCGCGACACGGTCGTGCGGCGGCGTGGTCAGCGCGCGACACGGTGGAGAGACGGCGTGGTCAGCGCACGCCACGGCGGAGCGCGTGCACAGGCGAGATATGACAGCTCCGGAGCGGCGGCGTAGTCGGCGCACGACACAGTGGAGCGATGGCACAGACAAGATATGACAATTGCCAACAGGTGGCGCATGATGATAGTCAATGTGTAACACATGAGTGCAAATTGGTTTAAGCCACTAAGACACACAAGCATGATTAATTTTCAATTCTACATTGTCAGATCACAGTTTTCTACCATTAAAAAGAGATGGTAACCACTGAAGCTTGGCATTGCAGTCATACCTTGAAGTTATTTGGACTTGCTCTGCAAGACAATGTTTTGCTCTTTCTTCACCACACTCAACTTAAACAAAATATCATTTCAAGACAATGAAGCATTTAATTAAGCTAGTCTTAAGCACTCTGTATCTGAAAAACAACAGTCCTGAGTCAGTTGAGGTAGTCTATATTCCATTGGTGACAAACAATTAGATGTACAACCCACATAACAATTAACTGATGTTGACATGCAGTGGACACAAGTACTTAGTTCCCATGCCCAAAGTGATCAAGAGAAAATATTATAAAGGACAGAATCAGCATCAAATTTTTTAATGAACCACATATATATGCAAATGATTGCACTTCAAAATCAAAAGATGGATGGGCCATTGCAAGAACACCTTAAGCAGAAATTAAATGGTCAGAACATGGCAGCTGTGAGCAAAGGCAGTTGGAAGAACAAGATTTGCTTTCTTGAGAATGGCATAATTATCATGATTTATGTCTAGAGCTATGGTCAGAATTTGCAGTTTTCTTACACTTTTGAGTTCAAAAAAGCTTGTTCTCAGCATATCAGGCTTGAGAGCATAATTTCATTTACCTGCATGGGGAAGGCAGATGACTATTGAACCATTGTGATAATAATTCATCACTGCTGCTAGGATGACAGGCAGAGTGCCAAATGGGCCATCCTCACTCCCCCTCCCTGTCTTCTCCCCACTCTTAATTCCCCAATGTTAACATAACCTGGGAGAGTCACATAATATTTTCATCCTTACTGTTCTTGCCATAAACATGATCCTACTTGGTTTGCTTTTGGGAGCTATATGCTACTTTGGGAGCTATGTATAGTCAGTCTTATTACCATCACAAGTCACAGCCAGGCATATAGGTGGTCAGATTATGATGCGGCAGGACTTTCATACAACAAGTAAAACTAGCATGAAGATCTGGCTCAGTCTAGCTTGGCCTAAGTTTGAAACAAACATGTATCATGCTCAACACATTGATATTCTTTACATGCCCAGTAAAGTTAGTGGATTTTTTCAGATTGGTTGAACTCCACACTAATGATATAGAGCACTTGCTTATCTGCTGGACTGATACATCATAGTACTGTCACTGTGTGTAGTATTGTCTAAATACGGACCAGTAGTGTGTGTGTGTGTATTCCTGTCTGAATATGGACCAGGACGCTGAATATGCTGAATACGGACCAGGACGCCGGGTGTAGTACTGTCACTGCACAAGAGACATGATGATATTTTATAAACTGTTTATGGAGGTATATCTGTCACTGTCAGAATAGGAGTTCCAGATAAGACATAACCGAGCAGTGACAAGAGTACACCAATGGAAACTAACAAGACCTGGAGCTAGGACTCATTACTGAGCAAGACTGGTTACTGGTTAGAGCAAGACTGGTTACCGGACTGGGGCTTGAAGAGACTGGGACAGACAGGCCAAGTGGCCATTCATAATTCTTGATCACCATAAAGTATGGTCAAGCATGGTTAGGTTGACTGTACATATCTGAAATAGCAGATATTGCAGCAGCAGATTTAGAGCACATACATTGCAAACCTACACTCAGCATTTGGAACATGGTCAATGTTAACTCATCAAACAGAGCCATTGCATCACAGAGATATGATCTTGCAGGGGTAATTTCTGTGCATCTGTCCATCGTCATTGAAAATTTCATGATGCTAAACACATTTGTCTACCAATGCACAAATTTGGCACACATTGACAAGACCTGAGTCAAACATACAACAGCAGGGAGTTCAGCCCTCCAATGTTAAATGGGCATCCATAACTTACTTTTTCAGTGTGTTATGACTAGTGATGGATGCTTTCTTTTATTCAAAGTGCTTACACATCATAAATGGGATGCTTTGAATGGGACAAGTGAAGAAGCTCTAAGTGTTGCAATCATATGCATCCAAAGCAAAGTATTTTTCAACCACACTGGGCACAAATTGATTTCGAATTCAGCTACCACAGCCTTCAGGCTGACTGGCTAATGTCCAGATCTATCTAGGATCCAAAGATGTCGAAAATAAGTCCAAACAAGAGGGTAGGTAAACCAAACCATCTGAACGAAGTAAGGTCATCTGAGACGCATCACCAAATCTAAAATACATGGGACGTAAGAGCAACGCCAGCGGCTAAAAATCTGCGGTTGAATTGCACGTTATCTGAACCACCCAAATACAACTTTCCAAACCTTACCCCTTGCTTTTCAACGCGCACGACACACTCAAATTGTCCGTTTGTAAATATCGAAATGGCGGCAATTCCGACCATCGCTGCCAATTGCGAGGCAATAGCAACGCATAAATGGAAGCGGGAAAATACATTTTTCTCACAGGTAAGCAATCAAAAGTCGATTGTTACCAAATTGCATTGTTGAACACCGGGAAAAAAATTACTTGCAATTTTCGAAACATCTGAGTATTTTTAGAGCGTTTTTTACCAATGAATTTGGTGCATCAGCTTATATAGGTGTGGTACTGGTAAATCTAACCTCAGTTTTTGTGTAAAGACATAATAAAAGTATGATAAAATTAGCGTAAAACGATACATCGCATCCAAAAAAACAGGTCAATTAGCATTTTCCAAAGCAAATTTGTGTATGATTTCCCAACATCATGCCTACTTTCTACCAGCCAGCTGTACAAAACTGAATGCAAGGCTGCATTAATTCATTGCTGATTGATGGTTGGATTGCGTTGGGAGTTGGAGCCCGCTTGTCTGTGCTGCGTCGTGATACGCAAAAGCTGACAAAACAAAACGAAGGCATTCGTGAGGCGCACCATTGACGGTGGGGGCGCGTTTTCGTCTCTCAGTTGCATTTTTGACGTTGTTCGGCGTGTGTGTGGCGTGTGTGTGATCAGAATTTTGACAGTTGGCCCCGGCCACACTTACGACAGCTTGTGGCGTTCACTGTCGACGTTGCAATTGGCGTCGACGTGGTCATTGGAAGAACGATACGTTTAAGAAGCCGTCAGAAGAATCCTAGGATGTCGGCCATGTCTACGGCCGTGTTGGCGTTTTGCCTCCTCGCAACTTTCTGTGAGTATTTAGTCGGTATTCTATTTGGGGATGATGCAACCATATTACTGTATGGTAATGCGTAAGGATTAAGCAGCCCTTGCGGCGGGTCAGGCCAGTGAAAAACGATAATCAGACGTTTGCGCGACATTGGTGTGCATAACTCGGCATGCAAAAATTTCATCCTCTTTTCATCCATCTCATAATTGTGTGCACCATACATGGGCAAGGGCAAATGGCACCAAGTTTTCAGATTATTTGTTTGTGTTAAAGATGGTTTCAAAGTATTTTTTACTCTAGTTGCCTTCCCAATTTCACTATTTCCTGAATCATTGGCCCCTTATGCATGGAAATTGGTGGGAGCTGCACCTAAATAATAAGCATAACCTATATTTTTTCAGCCTGATGCTGTCTAATGTTTGCAACTGTGAGATGACTTTTGCCAAGGTTGCGCCATGCCAGCTTTGCTGAATTTTCAAAATATGCTGTAATATTTGGGGCATTTTAGCATGAGCTTACATAACCATCATTATAGTTCCTGGAAACATTACTTCTCTAAATGTTCAAATTGGAAGCAACCATTTGTACAACTTGGGCCCTTGGATGTATGGTATGGTATGGTATGGATGCTCTGAATTTTTGCTGAGATGTTACTGCTATACTAGACATGTTCAGCACAACAAGAATTTTGGTAGTCTGGGAGACAGGAAGGCATTTCTAATTCAGGGTTATTCCTTCTATAAGATGTCAGGCATTGCTGTACATTTCAAGCATAGCAAGTATCCTTTCCAGGCAGTATGGGCCTAGTAATGACATGATTCAGCACTAGTCATCTCTTCATTTAGCACTTTCTTAAGAAACATGACACTATATTGGGAGCACTAGGTATTTGGCTGTAGCTGAATGTCAGTGGAAAAAATGAAGCACTGAGCCACATATTGGACGTGTCTGTACTAGTGTGTTGTTCTGTACCTGGTTAAATAGGCAAGAAATCATAGTGCAGAGTTGGCATATTTAGGACACCATCACCTTGCAGCTACCCTATGTTCATGGCACCAGAATAGGTCAACTCTCTTGAGTATATCATAATGATTCAGAATTCAGTCACATAAAATCAGTACAAGAGCAACTGAAAACTCCAACAAATGACAAACAATGGAAGAATTTTATTGTCAGGGGCCCAAAGGATTGACTTTGGCCCGTGATACTGAATGCCAGGTCTTACTGACCGCAGTGCAGCCCAGAGTGCATGTTTTTAGCATGGGCGACCATTATAAGTTTGAATTTAATTAAGTTCTGGCCACATCACAGGGAGCAGAAGGCTGGGTTCCACTAGTTACAAAAACTGTATGATCATAATAGGATGCTCCCTAAAGCCTTTTAATTGTGGATTTTTTACTTTGAGCTTGCCTCTGCCAGGCCAACAAGCAAATTAAATTCAAGATTGCAAGAATTATGATATGCTGGTAATTTAATAATCATGGTGACAATCTCCATGACTTAATAAGTACTTCAAGAACACAAGTGTCTAGTATAGGGACAGCAGCTTATATCACTCCTGTCCCTTGTCATATGGTATTTGTTCAATTTTTGAACTTGTGGCAAAAGTTAGTTTTTAGGGCTAGCATGCTTGTGTGTGATGCTTGCACTTCCTCATGCATTTGCTGGCAGTCTGCAATTCACACTGCTTGGTATCCTTGTGGTTCTAAAAGGCTGCTGAAGACAGGTTTCAGGGATTTTCTCACCAAAGTAAGGAAGGCAGTGTATATATATATATATATATATATATATATATATATATATATATGTGTGTGTGTGTGTGTATGTATGTATGTATGTATATATATGTATATATATATATATATATATATATATACATATCATATAATATAAATATAATGTGTGTGCCTTTATCTGTAAAGAAATGTTGCATTCCTTGTAGAACTACAGCACAAAATGGCAAATATAAATACAATCCTCATGTTAGGATAGAGGCTTTTCTCATGCCCGATGGTGAGCTGTGGGGTATATGATGCCTTCTCACCTGATATGATATAAGGCTTCTCATGTGACCCATGTGATTTGACATGACTCATTCAGTCTTTTTGTGAAAAATTGAGGTTTTTGCCTTCCTAGTGATGGACATGATAGACCTTCCATTAAATTGGGGCTTAGTCTGGCCCACCCACCTTTGGAATCTCACTCCACCTTATTCTTTTCAGGCTAACAATATGATAAGCTAGTGCTGAGACAAATCATTCATTATCTCAATGCTTCATCATGTGAACTAGGTTGAGGTCATGCCAGTCAAACATGATTGCCTATGAATTTCCAGCAGCAAAATAAGTTGTGTAGTGCTACTGGATTTCATCTATATTTTGAAAAATAAATACAAACACAAATGACCAAGCTGCTGAGATTGGTGCTGCCAACAGTTTGTATTGCCTTCTATTTGAGTACTTTGTTTCAGATTCTCCTGTGTGCTCACAAGATTCAACACTGATCAACCCAAAGGCAGGCGTAGCAGCACCCGCTGGCAATGCCGTCGCCGTGCCCAGTCCCGCAGCTGACGCGACCACAGCTGCTGTAACCGAGCCATCCACCAACACAAGGGCTCCAGACACCACCACCACCACCACCACCAGCACCACCACCACCACTGCAAAGACCACCACCACCACTGCGAAGACCACCACCACCACCGCGAAGACCACCACCAGCGCCAGCACGACCACCACCACGACGCCGGCGCCGCCCAAGCCGCTGGATCCCACCCAGGGTCACTGGAGCGTGTCGGACGACACTAACAGCCAGATCTGCATCCTGGCCAAGATGGCCATCCAGATGAAGGTCCCGTACCTGGCGTCAACCAACCAGGTGGGTGTCTGCAGCCAGTCCTGGTCTGCGAGACCCGGGTCGGCCTTTGTTCGCAGGCTGGTTGGCATCTCGTCTCATGGGTCAGCCACAAGGAGAGTCGGTCGAGACGGGGTGCGCTTACGTCGCTTTGTTGCAATGTAGTCGTTATGCTAAGCCTGGTCGCTGTATTACGCTTCAAATCGTCCTATAAGAATGCAGTGATTCAAATTAGAAGCGACCAGCGCCTGGCCAGCGGGCCTCGGGCGCATGCTGCCCTTGCCGAGCGCGACCTAGTCCGGTCGAGTGCCAGGTCATGACCCGTCCCTCCCGTCCCCTTTCCAGACGCTGACGGCGTTCCTGGACGTGCCGATCAACGCCAGCGCGACGGGCTCGTGCGACGGCGCTGAGTACATCCAGATCAGCTGGCCCGACTCTGGCGATGACGCCAACTGGTTCCGCGTGACGTTCGTCGAGAACGCCACCAGCGGCCACTACATGGTGGAGGCCATCACGGCCCGGCTGGCCATGACTGACGCCAACTTCCCCGACCACGCCGACGACAAGCGTGAGTGCTGCCGGGGACGGTGTGGGTCTGGGCGGCTCGGTGGGTGGGGGTAGGGAGGACAGCGACTGCGGGCAGAGGGCTGAGCAGGGTGGCGAACGCCGACCGCAGCCCGGTGGCGTGGCCGAGTGAGTGAGGCGGGCTGTGTTCCGTTCGGGGTTGAGGCAAGATTGTGCGGCCGACGGTGGACGTCCTGACCGCCAGGCGGGTCGGCAGCTGAGGTGGGCTGCGCGTACGGAGACCGCGACCGGCGTCAGCTCAGCGGACCGGGGCTCAAAGGCCGTTGGTCCCATCAGAGGCTCGGGCCAGCGCCGCCCAACTTCCCTGAGCCGGGGTCGTTGCGCGACGTAAGCACGGCCGGACGGACTCTGACTGACGTCAGGGTTCCAACATTTTTCGTGGACGCAAATTGGCCATATCGGTCGGTGCGCACTGAAACACCGATAGACAACGAGAGCATTGAATCGTGTCTTAATTTTACGTGTAGATATAATGTATAGGACTCCAGCTGTCACGCTGATGAATAACTCAGAATTGGCCGACGAGATTGCCGACGGATGACTGTGTTAAGAAGCGGAGCTGCAGACGCACAGAGTAAGGCCGGTTGGAGGGAGCGCGTTCCAGCGAGCAGGGCGGTGGCTGTTGCCAGCTCGGCCCGTCCCAGTGAGCTGGCGCGTCCCGGCCCAGCGCCGGCTGCCGGCGCGGCACGAGCGAGAGCTCGCCCCGCGGCGACAGGCCGGGCCGGCCGCCTCCGATTGGCTGTGATGGGAGCGTCCGGTGCGGTGCCGGGTGTGCGTCTGGAGGCCGGCCGGCCGCGGCCCGGCCCGGGACGGCAGCCCTGCTGGTGCCGGGTGAGGAGGGTGCCGACGGCGGAGCCACGGTGCAGACGGATCGACCGCGATAAGGACGCGGGTCGGAAGTCTTTGGTGACGTCATTGGCGAACGGAGTAGTAGAACTGTGTTGCCAGGGTAGTTAGAACCGAGGTGCACTTGCCTTTGTCGGTGGTAGGTTTTGCTGGTTGTGCCTTGCTGCGCTAAAGTCCAGCCGTTCTGCCTGCCCCGGGCGTATTTCAGTGTGGACATTGCACTCTAAAATGTCGCAACCCAGATTGTGCCCAATGCTTCAAAACCAGCAAGTTTGTAAGCCACGATTGTTTCTGACTTCCGCGTCATTGGTTGCCGTGTTTTGTAATAGTGCAGGATTGAAGGCTGGTTTGTCCGTTAAATGTGCCTTTTAAAGTCAAGGATTGAATGCAGGACTCCGTAAGGCGCGCCTGTAATGGCCTGGGATCGGATGCAGCAAGACTGTTCGTAGGGTGCGCCTGGACTGATTCCGTGGGTAATAACTTGCTTACCAATTCATGAGCGATTTTCCTAAAACCCTCCATTGTGTTCGCTTTATGTATGTTAGCGACGTGTCTAGTTTGTTAAGGAACTTATCACATTTGGGGGGGGGGGGGGCATCAGGTGGCGGTTTGTTTGCACTTCACATTGATGGCGGCTCACATGGCCGGGGAGCGGCCGATCAGTGCGGGGTTTGCCGTGGGAGAGGCCCCGGATCGTGCCGACTGTTGCTGAGATCTGGCGGCCGTCTGATCCCCTTCCCCTCTCGCGGCCGCTAGCTCCCGGCGACCGTTGTGTAACGCGGCTGGGCACCGGCCGGGTGCAGTATTCTGTGGCGGGGGCCGCCTATCGCTCCTGCATGCTGGCGGCACGGCACGTGGACGGGTCGCGAGACGGCTGAAAGCCTTTGTAGTTCGACCTTTACTTGAGCCCTTAGAGAGCCAGTGATCTGCGGCCTAACGGTGGGGATGGATTTGGATCATCTGCTTTGGGAAGCCCGATCATTGGTGGATGTGTGCCGTGTGCAGGTGCCGTCGGATGTTTCCAGAACTGGTCCGGCTGTATCCTGTAGAATTTTAGAAACAACCAGTCATGGGATGTGAGAAATTTGCAGGCGGCTCTGTCTGCTTCCTTTCCGCCAGAAGTTGCGCATATGCACCCGAAGCAGTGCAGTGAACCGCGCTTCATTGCATCACAGCACCGATCCGGCTCTGGTGAGAGGCAGACCGCTGCCTCTCACACGCCTCGCCCAGCAGGAGAAGGCCCGCTCCCGCCAAGACATTGGTGCGGTGGAGCGGGCACCGCCCTGGGGCGGGGCCGAGCCGCCGACCTTGACCCCGACCCCGGTCAGCTGAGCCGCGCCGGGGGCGCCCCCCTGTCGGCGGACGGACGGGCGGGTCACGCGCTGTGCCAGTCACGCGGCCGGCCGTCCTCGGCGGAGGGCGCGCGGTGACGGGCCGGCGGCTGGTGCGGCCGGCCGGCCGGCGGCCCTGCGGTCGCCGCCGCTGATACGCGGCGGCGCCGGAGCCGGCCAGCCGGCCGAGCCTGGGCAGGCTTGGGTTCCCGGAGCTGGCGTCACGGGACCGGTCCGGCTGGGACGCCCACGCGCCGGCCGCACCGCGCGCCGCCGCCGCCGGCTCGACTCGCGTCCTCCCTCTGGGGCTTAATGGGAGCATTCCGCACTGCGTGCTGATGGTTTGGCTCGCCTGTCCAAAGAGGCAGAACCAACATGCGCACTGTCGAGGCTACGGCTTTGGCAGCTATGCAAGGAAGTGGCGTGGAATGTCGCATAGCCGGGTACTTTGGATAGTATCTGTGCATCCTGCCCTCTGCGCAGTCTACGTGAGGCCGCCTGCATGTATTGATCTCGCGCCGCGATGTATTGATTTTCATGGCTGGCTGCCGTCGGAGCAGCCAGCCCGGCTTAGCGACGGTAAACGTGCGACGTTGCCAACCGCCGGCGCCACCCCGGTCAGCCAAACAGCTCGACGCGTAATCCCAATATCTTCCACTATCGCTAGACTGAAAAACGCGGTGGGGATCGGCCGGGCCGGGTGCAGAGTCGTCGCCGTGGGATGAGGTCAACCCCGGTCAGGGGTGACACGAGTGGTGCAGGGCAGGCGAGGCGCGCAGGACAGCCGGCGTGCTGCGGCGACCGGCATGAGACCGCTTCCGGCAGTGGCAGTGCACTGCGGTCGGCGCCGGCGCCTGGTCACGAGGTGGGAGCAGGCGTGTGCTGTGGCCGGCGCTGGCGGCGCCCCGCCCCGAGAGCGACGCGACCGGTCGGAGCTGGTCCGAACGTGCCCGGCCGGACGCGGGCGCGCGCCCGTCCGCCGGTCACGGCCGCGGCGGCCTCCAGCGAAGTCATCCCAACCCCGCTGTGATGTGCGGAGCGGGCCGGTGAGTCAGGCCCGGAGGGGGAGGGGTGGGGAAGCCCCGTCACAGCCGCCGGCGCCGCAGCGCAGGCCACTGCTGGACGGGAGCGTATGGGCGCGAGCACAGCTGCGGGCGCCACACCGCAGTCCACTGCTGGACGGGAGCGCTTGGGCGCGAGCACAGCCGCGGGCGCCACACTGCAGGCCACTGCTGGACGAGAGCGCATGGACGCGAGCCGACCGAAGCCACGCGGGCCCGGGCCACAGAACAATGTCGGTCCGCCTCCCCCTCCCTGTGGTGCACGAGTACTCGCCGATAACCGCGGTCACTGGCGCGTTGGTTGCGTCGGGAGGTCATATGGATTACACGCGCACACACATTGTGTGCGCACGTGTACCAGATCAGCTTGTGCACGGGTGGCAGATATCATCTGCAGGGAGCGAGTGTGCGATGCTGACCGGCCCGGGGCCTGGTGTAACACTTCGCCGTTCTCTGTGGGGGTGGATGGGAGCGGCTGGTCGCTGCTGTCATGTCAGCTGTCGTCAGCCGCTGCTGGCTGTCGTAACCCGCAGTCGGCAGCTGGCAGCCAGCTGACCAGTCGGGACGCGATCCTGCTCGGCTCGCCCGCCGGGGCCACTCGCGACGATTGCGGCGAAGGCTGGCGGTTTGCGTCAGAGGGATTGCGATCCGCTGGTGGTATTGGGCCGCGCCTCGGCGCTCTCGCCGCCGAGTGCCGGCGTGCGGTCAGCTGCTGTTGGCGGCCCGAGCAGCCCGCTCCAGGCTTCTGTTTACCTCGCTGGACCAGTGTGCCAGTCGACACGTTATCTGGGGAGGGTGACGGAGTTACCCCGGCCAATCTCGCACCGCCGGAGCGAGCCCGCTCCGGCCGACTCCGGCTGGTTGGCCGGCGGCGCGGCTCAGACCCGACTCCCCAGCGCTCTCCGTTCGGCCTTGACCGAGCCCTCAGGAAAGGTTACGTTAGCATGTTTCATTCAACCACGTTACGTTTATGTCGTTTCGCGACGTTTTGCCACAATTACGTAACGCTTTGTTTTCATGGTGCTCTGCCTCCATCGTTCAGAAGCTGCCCATCTCAATCAGCAGATACCCATTTCTGACTGTCACGCTGCACGTGCCTCTGGCACTGCCCGCGGTGCCGGCCGGGACTGAGGGGCACCGGCACCGAAGTGCGGCGTCAGGCGGAGCGTGCCCAGACTGCAGCTGTTGTCAAGGGTCCTCCGTGCGCCCTATTGTTAAGAGGCCGGGCGGCCTGTGCCACGATTGTTCGGTGGAAATGTTGGATCCGGGCAAGGCGGACGTCCGTGGAATGGGAGGAGTGCTGCCAGATAGCGTATCAGGGAATCAACCGTGAAAGAAGGTATATTGACCACTGTAAACGATCCACCGGGCTTCATTTAAGTAGTTCTCGTGCTAAGTGTCACAATCTTTGTTTCGCTTGCCTTGTCCTGTTGTTTTCACTGGTTTGTTGAACGAAGCTTTTGAATGATCTACTGGTGCTTGCATTGGTCCCCTCGAACATCAGCCTAACTCGACACGTTTGGCTTCTAAAAACAACTGTCGCCTTTGTTAGCGTTCGGCTGGCCGGCCGGCCGGTTCAAAGTACCCCCTCCCCCAGCCGGTGTGACGTCACGTGTCGGCACGTGCTCCGGTCGTGAGCGACGGACTGGTGACGCAGCTGAGGACTGTCCTGCCAGCGGCCGCCGGGCCGGGCTGGTGACGCAGCTGAGGACTGTCCTGCCAGCGGCCGCCGGGCTGGGCAGGTGACGCAGCTGAGGACTGTCCTGCCAGCGGCCGCCGGGACGGGCTGGTGACGCAGCTGAGGACTGTCCTGCCAGCGGCCGACGGGCCGGACTGGTGACGCAGCTGAGGACTGTCCTGCCAGCGGCCGCCGGCCGGGCTGGTGACGCAGCTGAGGACTGTCCTGTCAGCGGCCGCCGGGACGGGCTGGCTGCCGTAAGCGGTGGGATGCGGTGAGAGGATCACCACCACTGTACGCTGAACAGCGGAACTGGCGCAGCCGCCGCACCAGGATCGGGTGGCTTTCCAGAAAAAGCCGCTCTCTTGAGTGTCAAACAGTTGGCTCAATGTTTACAGTTCTGTGCTGATTTGTCCCCGTTGACGTAGCTATCTCCAGTCTCCGTTGCGGTGTTTGTTTGGGCATCAGCGGTGTGCTGTGAGACGACGTACTCCGGCTCTGTAATTTAAGCGAGCAGGACACGCACTAATGGATTGGGTCAAGTTGTGCTGGTTTGGGCTGCTCCAAGTTTTCAACATTTGTTCCGTTGCTCAAATGATCTGTCAGTCTCAAGATGGGTCCTGACGTTTTTTTTTCTTCTGTTGAGCGCTACAATCGACGGTTTACACAACTAAAGGCTGTGTCATTGCTACTCGCTGAATTGTTCGCCATTTGTCTTGACGAGTGGGCTGCTGGGAGAAGCTGGCCAGTCTCAACCAACGCCCATCGAAATTCCCTCCGTAGCCATTTTGTGGCACGGTCGCGAGCAACAAAGGCGCCCGCGGCAAGAGGCGGCGCTCAGTGATGGCGCCCGCTGCAAAAAGCGCTTTTTCGCTAGCCCTGGTGCTGGGCAGAGACGTCACACGTGCCTGGTCCCAAGGTCGGTTTCTGGCTCCCATTTTCCCCTTGTGAAAATGAGATTTTAGATCCTCAGTTTCAGCTCTTATTTATGAAGCCCAGTTTCCTGGTCCCTGGAACCGATTGGTTGTTTTGCAAACGCAGCTCCCTGGTGCCTGGTTCGCACCGGTTCGCCCGCAAGTACAAATTTCGTTTATTGGTTCCCACTGGTTCATTCATAAACGCCTAGCGTAGTTTCTAGCCTAGTTCCTGTTTCCCATTACTTTCCACAAACCCAGACCTTGGTTCCCCGGTGTGCTTTTATTCCATGTCGAGTTTTTATGTTGTATTCCTTTACACTTTTTGTCCTGACTTTTTGCCCAATCCACTTTTATTCCCGTCGGCTTTTTGTCGCTCGACTTTTTTCCGTTCCACTTGCTGTTCGGACACCGTCCCACTGCCCTGTGGCGGCGCATCCGTGGTGGAGACCCTGTAAGGGAGCAAATGCTCTGCAAAGGCCCAGTACTTATCAGTTTGCAAAGGGTCATCAGTAAGCGGATGGGACTATCTGATGCCATACGATATGGCACGGTGCTTTACAAAATGATACGGCGCTCCACTATTTGATGAACACTTTGTACTCTTATCTTGCATTGCCGTCATTGATGATAAAGGAAGTGGCGAAGACGCGTGATTTGTTGCATTGTTCCAATTATACTTGTGTCATGAAAGGGACCGAAGCGGGATGCGTTGCAACTAATGCCAGACCTGTGTGGCAGACGTGTCGGGAGTCATGTTTTTCATATTTCTTAAAGTTCGCTTCGCTATTCTGCGGAAGGTGGTGCGTCAAGGCGGTGATGTGTGAGGATATGGTGACCACCTCGGCCAGGTGTGCTCGTGGTGACGACGGTCACCACTGCAGCGTGCCTGTCGTCTCCGCGTGGACCCAAGAATGTGTCGTCGCCACCACTTTGGCAGGGTGACTGTCGTTGTCAGCTGTGGTTGTGGGGTGCGGCGGGTGCGGTAGTCGCATTGCGCCCATAACAATATTATTTAATTGGCGAGTTGTATACATGCAGCAAAATCCGATTTCTGCAAGTAATGCGAACAGTTCACCATCATCAAGCAGTTGCGAGCGATCGCCGAGAATGTCGCTAAATGGTGGTGACTGTCGTCGCCACCACAAAGTGACCCAGTCTTGCCAGTCTTCACCGTGTAGAACTAAGAACGTGTCGTCAACACCACCGAGTGATTGTCACCAAGTGATGAGCGCAGGCTACACATGCCGGGTCATTTTGGGGATGCCGCCGCGGCCGCCGGGGTCTGCACTGTACAGCGCGCTGGGATCTCCCGGAGAGCCGGGGCGTCCACGCGCCGCGTTCATGCCGGATCAGACCAGCGGCACAGCCGTCGGTGTGCGGCCCAACAGCCGCCCGGCCACAGAACGGCACGCGCTGTGGCATCCGGCGTGGTCGGAGTTGCTGTTTTCCGCTCTGAGTTCGGCGACGGAGCGGCACGCGCTGTGGCATCCGGCGTGGTCGGAGTTGCTGTTTTCCGCTCTGAGTTCGAAGGCAGAACACGAACGTCGCCACCATTTGCGTCGCCAGCTTACGGCTGGCGACGCAAGACCTGTGGGGGCATGAAATTGAATATTACATATTGTGGGAGCCACTGGCTATCACAACACATTTTTGTGTTTAATTGCGATTTGACATGAATATGGCAGCGCTAGTGTGGTGTAATCCTCCTCGGGCCAAGGCCGGAATTGGGGCCTGGTCGTTACCATTTCCTGCAGCGCCTGTTTGCATTGCGCCCGGCATGTCAACCGCATGCGCTGTGTTTAGATAACCGCATTGCGCCATCGCCAATGTCTGCCCGCCGCTGGCGTCGCTGGCGTCGCCTCCTTGTCACGCTGGCCGCCGACCTGTGGCAGCGCGCCCTGGCGTCACTTAGCACACGGTCATGTTCCCGTGCCTCTTTATGCCACCTCGCCTTATTACTCTGGCCTGTTCCTGTGTCTCTTGGTGCAATCCCACCCTTTGACATTTCCCTGTGCCTCGTGGCGTCACTTCACCCTCTGACCTTTCCCTGTGCCTCTTGGCGTCACTTCACCTTCTGACATATCCCTGTGCCTCTTGGCGTCACTTCACCTTCTGACATATCCCTGTGCCTCTTGGTGTCACCTCACCCTCTGACATATCCCTGTGGCTCTTGGTGTCACCTCACCCCTCTGACATATCCCTGTGCCTCTTGGTGTCACCTCACCCTCTGACATATCCCTGTGCCTCTTGGTGTCACCTCACTCTTTGTCCTTTCCTTGTGCCTCTTAGTGTCACTTCACCCTCTGACATATCCCTGTGCCTCTTAGCGTCACCTCACCCTCTGACATATCCCTGTGCCTCTTGGTGTCACCTCACCCTCTGACATATCCCTGTGCCTCTTGGCGCCACGTCACCCTCTGACATGTCCCTGTGTCTTTCGGCGTGACCTCGCCATCTGACATATCCCTGCGCTTCTTGGTGTCACCTCACCCTCTGACATGCACCTGTACCTCTTGGCGCCACCTCACCCTCTGATACGTCCCTGTGTCTCCTCACGTCACCTCGCCATCTGACTTGTCTCGTTGTCCCTTGGCGTGACCTAGGTGGCTGACCTGTGGCCGCTCTCCCCGCAGCGGAGCTGAGTCTGCGCGTCAACTTCTCGGAGCCGATCGAGCTGTCTGCCAACTCGAGCTACCGCTGCCTCAGCCGGCAGCCCTTCCAGCTGCTCGCCAGCGACGAGGACATCTCGGCCCAGCTGGTGCTCATCGACACCCAGCTGGAGGCGTTCCGGCACGACAACACCACCAAGTTCTCCACGCGTGAGTGGCTCGCACGAAGGCGGCAGTGGAAGGGCCTGGAGGTCTGTTGCTCTTCCGCAGTCTTCTAAGGCTGGAGTGATCCCAGCGCGCTCGATATAAGACGTATTGGCGCAAGCCGTCCTGAGCGTCGTGGCGGAGGGTGTGCGTGTATGCGGCATGACAGATGCGCGTCAGAACCACAACTGCACACGCGCTCATCTCGGCGTCCGCCAGATGACACGGAAATATGGATTTCGGTCATCAGCACTTGCAAGGAGTTGAACGGCCCACGTTCGCGGTGAGCGCGCAGTAAATACGGACGGCTGTAAATGCTGAACGGCTGTGAGCGCGCATTAGTCGCCGCACTGCTTCTTCCCCTCCCGTCCGGCGGTGCGGCCACTGGGGCCGCGCTGTGCCGCGACGGCGGCGGCGGCAGCATCGCTCGCGCGGCGTGGCCGAGTCGCCGTGAGTCCCTGGCCGGCCGCCAAGTGTGGCGTAACCGGGTGGCCAGCTGACCGGGGCGGTGCAGCGGCGGCCGTCACGGCCCGACACATGAGCCGGCTGGCGCTGCGGTACGGCGCTGGAGGGTCGGCCGCGGCTGGACGGCCACGCCTCAGCTGGGCTGGGGCGGCGGCGCCGCGCTGCTGCAGGCGCTCGTGACGGGAGTCTGGCGAGGGGTACCGGGGTGCGGGGCGGAGGTACGGGGCCTCTCTGACAAAAGGTCTGTGTCGTCGGACGGTGGTGATGGTTCGGCAGCCGCGCTTCTCTGGCTTAGTAATTGGGTCCTCCTGTCTTCAATCGCCTCGGGCCCGAGATGATGTGCGCGCGGGGGCTCAAGGTGCCGTGAAGGTCAGTGTGCCAGAGTTGGTAGATTATGCTGGGCAGATGAAAGATTCGCACCATCTTTGTCAAAATATTTATATCTCATTTGCAGAATTTTTGACACGGTGGAATGAGCTGGAGAGAATTGGGGGCTTGGAAGGCTAAATGGGATGATGTTTGCAACATGAATAAAAAGGCAATGCTGAAGTGAGAAACCAAAGTAAACGGGTGCATTCCCTTCGTATCACTACTCGTTACTATTTTGGATGCGGCTTGGTCCTGGTGATTGGTCCATGAGGAAGCCTCCACCCTCACCCTGACCGCCGTGCCTTACCGAGCCGGACCGCGCGCTCTAGTGGGTGGATATTTTTTAGGGCTCTCCGGTCATATCCCCGCGTCGGTAGGGGGACAGCAGCGTGTCCTCGTGTCCTCGTGTCCTTGTGGCCTTGTGTCCTCATGTCCTCGGCCAGCTGGTGGCTCCGCCTCTCTGCCTGCCCGCCTCGTTCGCCACCAGCGCCCGCTCCGACCGGACGGCCGGGCCTGACCGGACGGCCGGGCGGCGCTCTTCGCCGGGACGGAGCGTCTGCGGTGCGTCTGGCCGCTGCGGACCAGGCCGGCCTGGACCGAGCCAGGTCTGAGGGTCTGCAGGCTGCGCCGGACCGCCGGCGGAGCGGCGCGCCGACCAAGGCCGGCCGGCCGTCTGTTTACGGTCCGGGGTGGTGCCGGCCGGAGAGCCGGGCCGGCCGGGGCGCCGTGACGCGCGCTGACGTCTCCGGTCGCCGCTCCGGCCGACGGCGCGGTCTTCAGAGCGGCTGACCGCGCCGGCCCACACGCCTATTAACCGCACCCCCGGTGCGGAGCAGCGGCGTGAGGTCGGTCAAAATCGTAATACATACCGTCTCCGATGCTTCCGATCGCCTCCGTTGGCCGCCAGCTGGCCGTGGTACTCTGATGTCTCTGCCATGCCATCCCGACGGTGCGGTGGGAACGTGCCCATCGTGGCGGTGCCATCGGGCTGGCCCGGACGGCGGCGGCCCTGACCCTGACCCGTGACTGGCTGGCCTCCGCCGAACCGGTTGTCACACGATCACTTCGGGCACCAGTCACCGGTCGTGGCGTCGCGCCGCGTGGCGGACGCCTGCAAATGCGTCCATGGCACCGCAAGGTTTCCGCCGCCTTTCTCTGCATTCCCTCTCGTCCCCCCTCCCCCCCCCTTCCTCTCCTCCCGCTCTAAAACGTCTGTATCGCCGGCAACCTCACTAACCGTCTGTCTCCCCATCCTCCCGAGCCTCTGTAGCCGCCTCATCCTCTCGACAGTCTCTGGGCAAGACCACGCCCGAACGCTGAGCGCATCCGAACTGTGCGAGCTCCCAATACCGCACGACTGAACGCGAGCATGCGCGAGCTCCCAGTAACACGCGACTGAAGGCGATTATCCGCCAACGTGTCGGCTTGGGTAGTGACAACTGGGTCGTGTGGGGTGCTGTTTTTGTGCTCGTCTCTGGTCGGCGGTCGGGCGATGCGCAGCTGCGGCTGGTGAGTGCTGACGGCGCCGGCACGTCTGACCCGAGTGAACCTCGCCCTCGCTCCGACACTGTGTCCAGTCATGCGTGCCTGCCGCTGTTGTGCTCTGCTGTTGATGCTGTGCTCGTTGAATTGCTGCGGGAGAATTAGTCGGTTGTGAAGGGCGGTGGCACTGAACTTGTCATGTAATGCTGGTGTTATTCCGGCGGAAATTTCATCATTAATTTGCGCTGCGTGGTTGTTGAAAATTACCGTTATCGGACCCAACTGAAAATTGCACGTTTATCGGACTTTGGGACTCGAACCTGTAAGACTGTCTTGACTTAAGGGTGCAGGTGACATTGCAATTACAGCATTATTTGGGCTTTCGCACGCTTTCGCACACATCGCCCAAAAAGTGAAGCATTGAGCCTACAGTTAGTTAAGCGCATCCCCACTCTGTATCCAGCGACCGCTGGGATGCGGGTAGCGTGTCGCAGTACTGCGCCTCCCGCTACCCCGCCTGGCTGTGTTCACCAGCCTGGCACCCTGCGCCGCGCTATCGGTAACCCCACCGGTGCCCCTCCAGCTGCCACGGCGATGCTGACCGCGTTCTCCCCGTGCCACAGCGCTGGTGTGCTCGGCCGACCACCGCGCCGCCTCGGACATCGTGCCGATCGCGGTCGGCGTCGCGCTCGCCCTGCTGGTGGTCGCCATCCTGATCGCGTACGTGATTGGCCGCCGGCGCGCCCGCCAGCGCGGCTACCAGAGCGTCTAACGGCCACGCCTGCCGCGCCGACGCCCCGGCCAACAGCCGCAAGGTCAACACGACGTCGACGGCCGGAGAGGAGGCGGGGGACGCTCCCCGCCGTCGCTGGAAGGTGTGTGTGCGTGTGCGCGCGGGCGAGGTTCGGCGCCAGCTGCGCGAGTGGGTGCGGGGAGGTGAACGCCAGTGGAGTGGGAGTTGTGAGTGAAGCCAGTATCCTGAATGTGTTGCTGTGCGCTGAGCCTCCATATGCCTCACGTCGGCTTGTCGTCTCGTGATAGGGGAAATGGCGGAGTGGTAACATCTGACGACAGCGGAGGGAATATTTTCGTAAGTGATGCGAAATCTGAGGTGGTCTGTCTTCTCTATGTCATTTATGTCAATTTTTGAACGAATCTATACGTGTGTACTACTAAGTCGGCTGCTGCGTGGCGAGTTCGGGTCGACCTTGGGTCGGTCTTCTGCGCTTGCGTCGACAGCAGGAAGTGCTTTCAGCGACTGGTGCGCTCGCTCGCCGCGCGTCGGTGTTTGTGTTTATTCACGGAGACTATGGGGTGCGGCCAGCGGCGCGCCAATATCGGTAGAGTTCAGTGGACTGGTCAGCTCCGGTTTGCACGAGTTCCACCGAGGATCGCGTCAGATTCTTCTCGCCCGGAACGCCCGATGGCCACCGAATGAGTCCCCGCGTGAGTGTGTATAGGACAAGTAAGCATAGCGTGGTTGGTGTGATTGTCTTGTGTTTTGTTTTTAGCTTGATTGCAGTATTGGCGGAGCTTTTGAAAACGTTTGAATGCTTGCGCTGGGTGTAGTTCTGGAGGGAACGTGGGCAAGACCCAATTGATGAATATCATTATAACGCCTAGCGGGGTCCACCATGTATCAAAGACCACCAGTTATCAGCGGTGTTCCGTACAGTTTTGAAACGTTCTTTCTGTTCTTGATGCTGTCTTTTCGAGTGCAGTTGGTGCTTACTCGGGTTGCGGGCTCGCACGTATTGTTCACTGTAAGCCATACCAGAAATATACATACTTATCCGTGCGCTTGTTTGTGTTACGTGGAGACGGCTTTTGATCGCCAGCTCGTTCGTAGCCGCGATCCGAAGTCCTTCCACCCGTGTCTATAACTGTTGGCGGTGATTGAGTAACGTGGAAGTCGCACCTCATCAGCCCCGCCTGCCGTCACCTGCAAGCCGACGTCATTACACACCACGGGCCACCGAGCGGCCGTCGCGGCGTCTCGCGCGCCGTCGCTGCATGCGAGTGTCCGCCGACGCCGCTCCGCCCGGAGGAGGGCGGTCTGCGGCTGCTCCGTAGCCTCCGCCGGGGGGAAGGCGGTCTGCGGCCGCTCCGTAGCCTCCGCCGGCGGGAGGGCGGTCTGCGGCTGCTCCATAGCCTCCGCCGGGGGGAGGGCGGTCTGCGGCTGCTCCGTAGCCTCCGCCGGGGGGAGGGCGGTCTGCGGCTGCTCCGTAGCCTCCGCCGGGGGAGGGCGGTCTGCGGCTGCTCCGTAGCCTCCGCCGGGGGGAAGGCGGTCTGCGGCTGCTCCGTAGCCTCCGCCGGCGGGAGGGCGGTCTGCGGCTGCTCCGTAGCCTCCGCCGGCGGGAGGGCGGTCTGCGGCTGCTCCGTAGCCTCCGCCGGGGGGAAGGCGGTCTGCGGCCGCTCCGTAGCCTCCGCCGGCGGGAGGGCGGTCTGCGGCTGCTCCGTAGTCTCCGCCGGGGGGAGGGCGGTCTGCGGCTGCTCCGTGGACTCCGCCGGGGGGAGGGCGGTCTGCGGCCGCTCCGTAGTCTCCGCCGGGGGGAGGGCGGTCTGCGGCCGCTCCGTAGTCTCCGCCGGGGGGAGGGCGGTCTGCGGCTGCTCCGTAGACTCCGCCGGGAGGAGGGCGCCGGGAGGAGGGCGGTCTGCGGCTGCCCCGTAGACTTCGCCGGGAGGAGGGCGGTCTGTGGCTGCCGCGGGACCTCCAAACGCCTCGCAGCAGTCGTGTGCGGACCTCGCTTCTGCGTGGCCTGCTGAGCCCGGCGCGCGGCCGAGGCGTGCGGTGTGGCGGGCGCCGCGCCAGCTGAAACAGGACCCGCCGCTGCAGCTCACGTGTCTGTCACAGCAGCCGCCCGCTAACCACGCCAGTGCAATGTCGGGGACGGCCCGGGCTCTCCGGGAACTACAGGCGGTGGCCTGCGCTGTGCGGCGGTCTGCGGCCACGCAGCGGGTTGGCTAACGAGCGGCAAGCTATTTGGTTTGGTTGTCGGGATTAGAACCCTTCCGACCAGAAATGATCATTTCAGGGCTATGGGATGGAGAATGGATAATGGTGAGGTGAGACTTCATGCATCGGGGGGGGGGGGGGGGGGGGGCAGCCGCTGAGTTTTAGCGCGCGCAGATGCTCTTCGGAGTGTACGCTGGGCGCGCGGTCGGGGTTGTCCTCCCCAGGGGCCTCCCGGCCCACTCGTGGCTGACGCATACAGCCTGCCCTAGATAAGCGGGGGGCGCGGCAAGAATGCAGGAGAAAACAAGAAGAGGATAAGGTCAGCTCCACCAGCTTTTTGCCAGGCTTGCCCAGCAGGGCAGAGTAAGTAAACCAGATGATCGTGCTAGCGTCAACACCGAATTACTGCTGCCGTGTTTGTCTTTTCCGTGCGCCTGCGAGGCCGGTGCTCGCGTCGAGATGTGTATCAAAGTTCAGAATGGGAGCGTTCCGCCGCCGTCCTGGCGGCAATTGGTCCGGAGGTGGCGCCATCTGCGATCCCATGACGTTGCCGCACGGATGCGAGGCAAGGTCGCCGGTTCGCTTCCACTCTCGCCGCGTCCGCTGAGAACGTGACAGGGTCTGGAGAATGTGGAATGTTTGTGACGTTCAGACTCGGAAGTTCGATTGTTTGTGAATGCAATGCACTGAACTGAATTAAACTGAACAAACGCGCGACGAAGCGGAAGTACAAAATCCGGGTACATATACTCGCTTATATATTATGTGGGGCGCAACATGGAACATAGGTCGTATTCGCATTGTATAGATAACATGAGATACGCGATTTAGGCGCGCGCGCGGGAGCAAAGTCCCGGGCGCCCGCGGAGAGCACGGTCCTAAACCGCAGGCGATCACAGACAACACGGCGTCCCACCCCAGTGGTGTCGCCGTCGCCGGCCTCCCCACCACCGCACACGACACTGCCGAAATGACCGAGGTTCGATCGTCGGCCGCCAGGGGCGCGCCAGAGCCGACGGCGGCGCGCTCAGCGCGTGTCGGGGAGGGGACAGCCCGGAGCCGCTCTCAGCGACGGCGAGTACAAAGAGCCCGTTCAAGGATACGTTCCCGTTTACCTCCCGACACCCTCCGTTCCACCATCAGCGCGCCGCAGGCCGCGCGCAGACCTTCCGCCAGAACTACATCGCCACGCAAACACACGCGAGGTGTGACCAGCGCGACGTACAGCGCCCGGGACCAACGTAAAGCTACGAGAAAATGGCGCGCGACCACGACACGCACGCTTGGCCGGTGGTCTCCTGGGTTTCCATCGGCGTAGTTCCTGACGCGAATTGCTGGCGCGTCGCATACACCCCTGGTAGCGTTCCAGGCACGCCGCAGCCTGGCGGCGCGCCACAAAATCAGGAGCCGAGTCACGCGCGCCATGACGAGCCAGAAGCCGACACAAGCCTTTCCACGAGATCACGCCCACAACACGCATAAATACGCGGTCATTAGCCATGCTGCAGACCAAACATAACCTACGGCAGCGCCTTGCCTGGTGCCTGTCTAAATAATCTCGACTAAATAGCCACAAAACGTAGGCACGAAAGAGCTGCCCGCTGTCCATGCCGAGAAAACAGCATCGCCTCTGACAGGAGGCCGATCGCGGCCGCACCGATATTTCGAAGCGGAGCAAAACAAGCTGCAGTTGCGGCAAGCGACCGTCCGGCTACCTGTCCGGCCAAGCACGACCTGTACGAGAATGCATTGGCCAATCGCAAGGCCGGACCACTTGGCGGCTGACGGCCAACTGGTCGCCTGAAGGCGTTCCGCGCGAGAAGGTGACGGGTCAGCACCAAAACCCGGTCAGTGGGACCAGACCGGCACCCGCCGCCCGTCGGGGCCGCATACGGCCCGCGGCTCGTCTCCCAGCCGCCGCCCTGCGCGACAAGGCATTACCTCCGCAGCGTTCTCCAGCGTCCGGGGTCGCCGCGCCGCCGCTCCTGACTAGAACGGGTGCGGCGGAGCAATGGCACGCAGACAGCAGACAGCGGCCTGTGCAGCAGACAGCCAGCAGACAGGGGTCTCTGCAGCAGACAGACGGCAGACAGCAGCTTGTGCAGCAGAGAGACGGCAGACAGCAGCCTCCGCCGCAGTCGCCCCGGCGACGTGGCGGCGCGCAGACACGAGCCAGAAGCGACGGCGCGGGGGCGATGGAAGCAAGCGCGGCCGGCGAGCGTCAGCAGCCGCGAAAGCGGGACGTCCGAGTCCCCAGCGCCGCGCTCGGCCTAAGCGCCAGCTCGTGGCGAGGCAACGCTCCGAGGCCCAAGCCGGTGACGGGTCACGTGACCCGCCACCGGCTCAGGTCAGGCTATGCTCGCAGTCGCCATCGCTCGGCCGTGAGAGGCGGCGGACCACGTGACCCGTCGCCTGCCTGCGGTGGCCCACGACTGTTGACAGGTGCCGAGACTGTCCAGCGCCGTACAAGACGGGTGATATGTTCCGCGACGTGCCACCCGTTTCGGCCCGGACTGTCGACAGGCGCCTTGTATGTGCCTCGGCCCGACCGATCGCTGTCCGCACCGACCCCCGATATGCAGCCGAATCTGTCGCGGTCGATCCTGGGCCGCGGATCACTCTGTTCACCGCTCGCGCAGACGGTGGGTATTTGAAAGCCGACTCCCTCCCGCGCCCTGCCGCTGCCCGCCGAGCCAAACACCTCGACACTCTCCCTGCGCCCCCTCTCGGCGCGACGGGCACCGGGCGGCGCCTAGCCGGCCGGCGCCAGCTCCCAGATCTTGACGAGACGGTCCTGGCCGACGGTGAGGTAGCGGCCGCGGGCAGTGTCCAGCGCGCCGCCCGCCACCCGGTGCTTGGCCTCGTGGATGGAGGCGAGCGGCGCGTGGCCGGCCGCCGTCACTGTGCCGAAGCACGGGTCGCAGACGCGCACCGGCAGCTCGAAGCCCATCGGCGGCACCGTACAGCGCTTGGAGCTGCACGGGTCGCAGACGGCGCGGCCGCAGCTCCTGCCGACGTGGAGAGTCCGGGTCACATGCGCCGTCAGAGCCAGGATGGCGACGCGGCGACGCGGCGGCCCAGTGGTGCCAGGGGGTGCTGTGTAGTGCGGACGCGGCTGGGTCTGCGGTCGCGCGGGGGGGGGGGGCTCGAGGTCCGCAAGAGGTAGCGAGACGGCTAAAGATCGCAGGCGCAAGACGACCATCGATGGCAGGGCGCCGCTGATGCGGTAGAACGCAGCGAAGGCGACTCAGCGTCAGATGCCGGACGAGGTGTCAAGGGTCGGAGGCGATGCAGAATCACGAATTGAGCGACGAAGAGAGCGCGAGTAACGATAGGGCATCAGCCACCAAGCCAGCATGGCTATAGCTAGGGTACACAGCCATTTTTGATGACCGCACTAGCTGCGAAAACCACATGTAATCGAAACCCTATCCTGGTCAAACACACTCACACATCCCGGCGCCCTCTCGGAGTGCCCGTGCCCGTGTGAGACACTGCTGACTGTGACCCGGCACGGGGCGCGGCCGCCGCGGCGGCCCGGCACGGACCTGCAGTGGTGTTGGCGGTTCAAGCCCAGCTGTTTGTTGTCGTACATGGCGCGGATGTTCCAGAAGAACGGTCTCTCGCACAGCTGGCACACGTCCGACTCGCTCCAGGCCGGCGTCTGGAACAGCGCCGGGCCGCACCGTGTGAGCTGAGTTGCCATGGACACGGGTTCGTCCCCCCTCCCCGCTTCCATACCTCGACAGGCTGGGTGCAGCAGGCACAATATGTGCGTCCGTGAAGCATGGTTTCTGAAAGGTCTTTGACACTCTCCGTCAGGACCGTGTAAATCCGCATGTCCGTGTCTTCTGGTTTCATAGTTTCACGATCTTAGCCGCAAACACCGACCAAAATTTCAGCGACCTCCACGCGCCGGTTTTCCGCGTCCCGTCAGCGGCCGGCCATGCCGGGCGGCCTGTCTGCACCACGAGCTCGACGGCGCCGCCTCTCGGCCGCCGTCCTCACCTCCCTCCTGCTGGCGGCCATGTTCCAGACGACGACGGAGCCATCCTCGGACGCCGACAGCAGCTGACGGGACCCGCTGTGGTAGCACAGCGACAGAATCTTGGCCCTGACAACAGCAGCAGCGTTAGTCCGGCACCGCACGTGGCGGTGGCGAGGACCTGTGGAAGTCATTGGGCTTTCGGGCGCTTCGGCTGCGCGGTCATATCTAGCGCCCATCACGTGATGTGGCGGCGGTGAGCACCTACAGTGTGGCGGTTGCCAATGCAAAGGTCGCAGCCGACAAGCAGGGATCACCGTAGCATTTCGTAATCCCAAGAACAACACTTATACAAACAAGGCACCATGGCAGGTCACTTCACCTGCACCCGGCGCTTCTGTGCCAGCAAACTGCATAGCATAGCATAGCATTGCTTCCAACATAGCACAGCTCACCGACAACAGACAATGTGATACAATATTTACATCAAGATCACTAACATACCAGATGAGGTCTACAACCAGGCTTCAACAAACGGGCTGGACATAAAGCACCACGCAGCAAGCTTCGGCTACGTGATAAAACCTTAATCATCAGTCCCAACCCCATCAACGCTACCCCACTGGACACTCCTCGGCCAGATGTCAACAGCTAACAGCACAACACCAGTGACGGCGCTGGCGAGCGTGGTCTCCTGCTCTCACGTGTGACCCTGGAGCTCGTAAGCGGTGCCCTGGCGTCCTCCGATGTCCCAGACGATGATGTTCTGGTCAAAGCTGCCCGAGAACAGCCACTGACGCTGCGCGTCCCACGCCAGCGCCCTGTGGGAGACGACCGGACGCTGTGACGCAGCCCAGACTGCGGTTCTCGGGAAAACGGCGACACGCGGGGTCAAGTCATCATGACGCACGCGACAGCAGCGCACCGCAAATACGTGACAAATGTGTGAGAACCTGAATGACACATACGCATATCTACGAGATAACAGCACTGGGAGTAAGCGCATAAGATTAAATAGTAACTACCTCAGGAGCAGCGCAGCCACATGCGCCCACACAACACCACAGGATAGCGCTCCGTTACAACTTAGCGCGGCCAGAAACCGCTCCAAGTGCCGCGGCTGGCCGTCGGCGACCCCGGCACCGCGCCGAGTCCCAGTCGGCCGTCGGCTCGGGCTCCAGGGCCCTGCCTCCGCCAGCGCTCACCCGATGCTGCCGGTGTGGCCGTTCAGCTTGGTGATGAGCGTGGCACCCGAGTCGTCCAGCTTCAGCATCGTGATCTGGCCGGAGTAGTCGCCGATGAACACGTGCTTCGACGTGGCGTCGTACCTGAGCGCGGCGTTAAGGAGCAGCCGGGCCGTGTACGGAGAACGCGAGCTGACGTACAGCACAGCGAGCGGCTGTCCACTTCAAGTCACGAAAAACGAACGGAAAAAGAGCGAAGGCAAAGAACAACGAATGGTTTCCACAGATAGGCCGCAGCCATGGGATCGATGTTTACGTCGTACGAACTTCTGCTTGACGCACAGGCGAAATTTCACGTAGCCGACTCGACGCCAACAAACTACATGCAATCAGTAGGGCAACACGAAATATCTGAGTTACATACACATCACCACCCGGTGCTCCCCTTCTAAAGCACCCGCACAACGTCGATTCCCGCCACACGCTACCTGCCACCACCCCACCCTCCCCAGCCCAGCTCGTCTCGGGCCGCGGCGCGAGAGGATACTGCATGGCGGTGCACCAGGCGTCGGTCTGGTGTCCGCCGATGCGGCGGCCCGTCTCCGTGCAGTGGTACTGGAAGGCCTTGTCGCGGCTGACGCTCAGCACCCACTCGCTGGCCGGGCAGAGCACGCAGGCCGTGACGCGCGCCTGGTGCGCCAGGTAGTCGCGCACCGGCGACAGCCGGTTGAAGTCGGTCGCCAGGTGGAACTCCTGCGCGGATGGCAGCATCGCAGCGGTCCGTCACGGAGGGGCGGGAGCAGAGGTCCGACCGAGAGCGCGTGGTCGGTCAGCCCGGCGAATATACAAATATCGTCATTTCGCCACACAGCAGACGGCTGGGAGGAAGAGGCCGCTGATAGGAGCCCTGCCCATTGGCGATGTGTACAATTTGCATGGGCTTCGTCACCCAAACTTCATCAAATTAAAGGTAACCAGTATCAGCACCATCACCCCTACCACATCAGGTAGCTCAGTCTCGGCAAGATACACATGTCGCAGGTGTAGCACATTGCTGTGGCATCTGCATGTACCTATGCACAAGCTGCATCGACTCCTCTCCCCCCGACAAGACCAGCCGGCAGCGTCATCCACTCACGCAGACAGTGCCGTTGTCCAGACCGACGAAGAGCCGGTGCGAGGCGGCGTGGTAGAAGAGGCAGGTGGTCGGCGAGGGCGTGTAGTGGCAGACGCTCGGCCAGAACTGACCCGTGTCGCGGCGCAGCCAGACGCGCACCGACCTGCCGCCCGCCACCGACGCACGCTCGGCGTCAGGTCGCGGCCCCACCGGCCATCGACAGGTCAACGGGCGGCTGACCCATGCCCGAAGGGACTTACCCCAATAAACAGTCTGTCACACATGACACATTCTGACAGAAAAACAGCAGAAATATGTCAAATTGAATGGCACAAAAGCACAGCATGTCAGCCATATGATGCAGGTACGTACTTGTCGTCTGATGCACTGATGATGCCATCTTCCCCATCGATAAAAACAGCATCATGAACTTCATCACTGAAGCCCTCCACCTTAGCCAAGAGAGTGAGCTTGCGTTCACCAGTGGCTCTTGCTCCACCCACAGCTGGCTTTATTTCAGCAGCCATGTTGACTTATTGGTGCCCAGCTCTCAGCACCACACTGTGGGAGTGTCCATTGCATGTCACATAACATGTCAATTATACATGCACTGTTATCAGGCTCTTAGGATGACCATAGTATGTCACCACGAACAGCATGAGAAACATGATCAATCTAGGAGTGTTACCGAGATTCCACACCTGATGCCAGCCAGCAATCTGCCAGCCCAAACTTATCTGGGCCAGACCAGAGCTCTTATTTTCTTAGACCTAGGATTGAATCATGAAAACAAGTGTCCTTCCATATTATGAGGGGGAAGTAAGATAAGAGCACATGGCACCTGCCCCCAATGGCAGAAAATTCCTTTTAAGAGCACCTAAGCTAATGACACCTTCATTGTTCTAAGTGATAGATGTTAGAATAGTCATCCTCGAGCGCTGGGCAAGAGTCACAAAACAGATATTACTGTTCTGCTTGCCATATGAATGGCACCTAGTAGCCTCCTAACAATGGCAGACAGCATATGGAGTAGCTGTGTCCTGGATCATGAGGCCTGTAAAGCTCTCAAACATGGAAAAGGCAGCTGGTCACTGAGTAGGGTGCTAACAGTGTGGGATAACTGTGTTATAGCAATATATGGCAATTATAATTCTCTAACATGGAAATGTCAGGTGGCACTGACAACAGAGGGTCAAGCTGACATGCAACAGCTGTGTCACAACACTATATGGCAGGCAAGACTCTCACAGTTTTCCCTCACAAAACACTGAAGACAAATCCACCAAACAGGAAAGAGTCATTCTGATGTTCTGGGCATGTGGAAGCTGGGTCAGCTGGCTAGTTTTAGGACAGTAAATTTTGATTTGTATATGACCCATACTGTAATTAGCTGATGTCAACTGAACTTCTACTTTTCACCTTACATAAGCATGGGTGATAAGTTTGTAAATTATCATATGATTATTATGATGAGGACCTGAAACCCATAGAGCAGCCTTTGAGGTTAGTGACACTTGATAATATCCTACCTGGTACCCAAGGGAAGCAGATTAGGGGAACATGGGGGAAGAGGAGCAGCTGTCCCCACTCTTCGAGCAGTAGTTTAATATCACCCCCATGACCATGCATGGAAAGACACAAGAAAAACAGACATGCACACTCACATGCCTCTACCTTGGGCAGCATTTGATATCAAACCTATGATGGTGCATGGAAAGAAAAAAGACAAAAACCATGTCCACTCATATGCCCCTTATTTCACGCAGCATTTAATATCAATTCTATGATGGTGCATGGAAAGATACAATACAAATAATGCTTTAGCCCACTTCCCTACTGGCATTGCCACCACTGCTGGCACCTGCACTTGCATGTGCCTTCTACCCATTTATTTGTAGGCCAGCATGTTCAAAACAGATAATGAAATTGCATGTTTGAAGTCAAACAGCAAGCACTCTTAAATAACCTCAGCAGATTAAAGACTATTGCAATGCTCTCCCATGGTTACCCATTCAAATCCAGATCACCATAGAAGGGTGGGAAAGTTACCTGAATATATTGGCAACAGGGTAATATTTCACCAAAAGGGTTCCCAAAAATTTTACTTCAGCAAAATCAGGACCAGAGCATAAAATGTTGTTGCTGTTTGGATTGCCTGTCAAGAATAAAATATGGGAAGACCATAGTAATGTTCAATACATATAATTGTGACACACATTACACATTATCACATTATTACACATTATTAACACATCATTATGTGACACATTATCATTACAAATATGCAAATATAGGGTGCATTATCCATTCTATGCAGCTGCATGAACAAACCTGGATTACATTGTTTGATGGCATGACTTTCATCGCCAAATGCATGTCTAAGGTGCTTTCTCCCACACTACAGCAGTGTATCCCAAGGTCATTGCGAAGGAACTTGCACCTCATAGGGGATTTTTTTGGGGGGGAAGCTTGAGCCCTTCAAAAATTTGAAAACATTTAGCACATTCATTTGGGAACATTCAGTTGAGAACATTCAGCCTTGCAGTGATGCATAGAAGGAAAAAGGTTTACAATGTCTCTGACCACTTCCTGATCCTGAACATATAATATGTTTGAAGCATACAAATAGAATTGAAATGAAAATAAAATTAAGATTGAAAGCTGAAACAGCCATAAAAAATTAAATTGAATAATGAATAAGAATGAAAAACTAAAGATATAACTGAGAATACTATGCCTGTGCATGAGATACCCAGATTCAGAAACCAGATAGCTCATGAATTCAATTTGCCTCAAGGCCAACTGTAAAAGATTTAAGATACTTGGGAAACAGGTTATTGCAATATTGATGTGATTGTCACACCATGATTACCTGCCCATTCCAAGGTCAACATAGTGACCAAAGGTCACCTGGCTTCCCAGTTTATGAATTGTTAGGGAGTATTACAAATGATGATAGGTTCAAGATGAGGGAACAAGCAGTTTTTTAGCAGAGCACAGAGCAGCAATGACAATGAAATAGCATGGCCTTGTCTGAGGTATTCAGTATAATGGCATGCATATTATTCATAGCATTCATAAATGTGGTAAAAAATATAAATGAGATGAATCATAATAAAAAGAAAACTATGTGATAGATAGCATATTTTGAAAAAACAATTATCTTCTTTAGTTGTTCCAGTGTTCTGTGTTAAGCAACATGTGAAGAAGGCTGCATCACTGCTGATAAACCATACTGAATGGTTCTAAAAGCTTTACATTTTAAGCACCACACAATGAATACAAATCTGATAGCATGTGCTTTTGCCTAACAGTGCCTTAACTTTCATAAAAACTTATATCTCTACACCTGGCTAATATCAGCATGTATTATAAGCATCCAGTGTTGTGGTGTCTGCAGGAACCCAAGTTAGCCATAAACTCCCAAGAACTAAGTTGGTTATCCTGATGCTTCAGGGCTATGGCATGTCCAGGACTTTAACCCAGGCCTCCATGCAAGAACCAAGTATGCTAAGCACCTCATCATTCATATTATTCCCCACAGAAAAGGGAGAAAATAACAAATACCAGGCACTCAACAGCTGATCTCAATTTCCAGAATCTTGCCATTTCTGCAACTGTATCTTATCTTGGGCTGGGCTGCAGCTTCCACTGGTATACATCAAAGTGCTTTGACAAGTGAAGGCACCCATACTGGATATTCATCATTCATAGGACCAGATATATGCCTGGAACCCCCAGAACATCCCAGAATCAGATCCCCGAATGTTGTTACCATAGAAACCAAGCAGATCCTTGATCTTCCCTATGGATCCAGGCATGTGTCTGCACTGAATCAGACTGTAAAAATCCATGCTACATGATGTAGAAATACACATTACACCATGTATTTGAGTCTTGCATGCTGACAAAATTGTAGCAAGGTTACACCCATGTGTGTCATAACTCAGATTGTCTTAAGTTTTGCATGGTAGGTTTGAATCCCAGTGCATGAAAAGCCATTGTATGGACGGACTCTGGAGCCGATGAATAGTCTGGAGACGGGCTGCGATGGCCTTTAAAGCCCAAAAGTTGTGAAATTATAAAGCAAACGCAAGGTTTATGTCCCCAAGGCAGAAATCAACTGAATCTGGATCACGTCATCACTGATAACACTCTATATATTTAACCCAGCAACCGTTTATCGGTACGCCAGACCCCCTCAAAATGCACATTCTTACGCCTCTCTCTTTGTCTAATCCCAGCCGGGCCGACCTATCCCCTTCGTTCAGTTTGTAAACACCTCAGGTTTCGACGAGGCCCGTCCACACCGTTTTACTTCGCACGCCAACAACCTTGCTTAACCAGTATGAACAAATCAGAGTAAGTGGTACTACGGATAAATTTGTTATCCTCTTTTTGATTTGACAATTTGGAAACATTCTGTTTTATTTCTAAGCGCGGTATCTCGCGAACATCCTTCAATTTTTAGTGCAGGACATTATTGAGCGCCTTAAAATAATACTTTCCAAATTTGTATGACGATGATAGAATATTCTCTCATGAGATATTATAAATGCATTCAAAGTAGCAAATATTTATTTGTTTTCTACTTATATTGAATAATATGCGTGAAATTTACATAATTCACCAAATTTAAAGCCATAGGAAATAATTACTGAAAGGTACTAGGACATTAATTTTTCAGAAGCGCCAGAAATGATCTTCTCTAATTACCGCCGCAAAAGTCAATTACCGCGCAGTTAGCACAGCTACCGAGGGACAAAAATATTTGAAAAGTGGGTTGCGCCCCGTCGATGCTGTTGGGCGATGGTACTGCGCTTTAATCGGTCAGGAGTCCCTTCGAACTGTTAGCGGAAATTTCTTAGGTCGCGGCCCTGATGAAAAGGACTAATGGTCATGACAGCCAGGGGACAGAAAATTCTACTAAGGTAAGAGAAGTATATAATGTGGCGTCGCCACACTGGAACCGTAGGTACCTGTCTAACACATAGTCCAGCATGCTTGTTTGGCAATTGGCTGGAAACTTTTTGAAAGTGTGTTAGGGACGTCTAAATAAAAGTATGCCACCTGATGTATGAGCAGGTCATGAAACATCACCAGTGTGTAACAGCACTCAGCTGCTGAGGCAATAAGATGTTTGTCTCACTCTGGTGAAAAGGGCAAGGACTGAGGGAAATTGACAGTTCATGAAGTGATCAGGTGTGTGAAGTATAAATGATAAGATACTGTGAGCTTATCTTTGGTTCATTGCATCTAAGTGGGTACAAGGTTAAAAATAATTATAAATGATTAGATACTGAAAGCTTATCTCTATTTTGTTGCACCTGAGTGGTAACAATGCTATAAACATGCCAAATGGTTGTGGTTTGGTTCCCTGAAGAAATTCAGCTGAGCAAATAATTGGTGTGAAATAATAATGCATACTTGGTCATATATTGTGCATGCTCCAGGTATGTATGAAGCTATCTGGTATCCTGGGGTACATTTTTGGGGCATGCAGTTTTGTAGGGTATTATTATTATTATTATATACTGTCTCCAACTGTAACTGCTTGGGTTCACAGGATAAAACTACTTCTTAAGTGCACATCAGAACCATTGATACAAGCTCCAGCCAAGATGTATGGAAGCCAGTCTGGAGCTAGCATTGTTTTGCAGTTACCAGCAGTTGTACAAGTATTTAGATTACTTGTGCATGCTAACATTTCTTGCTATAGCTAGTGTATGTGTTTGTACATTCACCAGTAGCAGTAGAAAGGATAAGGGTTCATTGCTGGCTGTTAACATTGTGATGCTAAGGTATTGGATCTGTAGACTAAACATCTTTTACTCCAGTGTTTTGAAGGCTACAGAAGATGCCATGTAATTTCTATAGCACCACTAAGAGTATGTTATGGCAAGCCAGGCCTTCTAGAGTACTGAATAACTTCTTATGATTAAGCTCTTTAGAAAGCTCAGCTGAAAAGCTGGTCAGTCTAAAACTAGTGGTGCATGCAAGTGGCTATGCACAATTTGCTAGTTGAAGCCTCTCCTTGTTATGGGGTGTAGTTATCTATGTAGCAAAATGACCAGGATGTCATATTCAGCTACACAGAACTAAGTAACTCGCATGTGATGCTCAAATTACAGGTTGGCATGCTGTAGCAAGTGTGGTGTCACCCAAAGCAACATTAAAAATTAATTTGGAAATGAAATACTTGTTGTCAAAATCAATTAGGGGCTACAGATAACAGATGTGGCATGAAAGCAATCATTTTACTGGCTTGTGGCTTTGACAGGCTCTTATTGAATGTCATAAAACATGAGGAATATGCCCCTTTAGCAGATTATTGCCTGCAGCTAACTTGTAGCATTAAGTTATGGTTGTGTGAAATGTTCACAATAGGGAAAAGCAGCATACCAGGCTTTTGCATGGACACTATATGAGAGAGGTTGCCTGATATGGCAGCTAAAGAGCAGTGGAGAAAGCCAGAGCAGTACAGACAGCTGAGAGTTATACAGTGTTGGGCCTTGACATTCAAAACGCCTCAGACCCATTTTGGTGAGGGTAAGGGACACGCACAAGCAAAGGTCGTGACGGGTGGGCTAGTCCGGTCCCGGACCTCGGAAACGGTGGTGAGACGCGCAGCCAGCTCTTGTGGCTCACCATGACCGCATACTACATGCGAAGGTACGATGTTTGACTGGCGGGGACTCCGCGCTCAGCCACCGCCTTATCCCCACCAGATCTGATACATGGCCAGCCACTGCTTTATCCCCACCAGATCCGATACATGGCCAGCCACCGCTTTATCCCCACCAGATCCGATATACGGCCAGCCACTACTTTATCCCCACCAGATCCGATACATGGCCAGCCACCGCTTTATCCCCACCAGATCCGATACATGGCCGGCCGCTGCTTTATCCCCACCAGATCCGATACATGGCCGGCCACTGCTTTATCCCCACCAGACCCGATACACGGCCAGCCACTGCTTTATCACCACCAGATCCGATACATGGCAGTTTTTTGCGACCTTAAATTACTTTCGCAAGGTAGGTGATGATTTTTGGTGTATGAGGCACGTTCTTTTCACCATTACCATATCCTAAGATGTGGCAGCGCATGTGCGAGGATGCCAGGGCATTGCCTAGCGCGGGGGGCACGTCGGCTGCTTGGTCCCCCTGTCCCCTCCCTCTCCCCACGTTTAAGATGTGACCGGCCAGTTATAGTCGAAAGCATCGAAAAGCAACGCTTTGTTCGTATCGTTTGCTTAGCTCGAAATAAACCCCAAGACTTGATGCTGAAGGTATCATGTGCAGGAAATGCATCATTTTTCAAAGTTTATGGATATATTCGTGCGTTTTTCAGAGTGCAACAATCACGATGATTAATTTATGATAATCATGTAAACATGACGTGCTTTCTTTTCAACAGCGTGCTGGGTATCGTTTAAGCTTATCGGATGTAACGTTGTCGGTGGGATGCCGGGATGTTGTTTGTTATCAATTTTTACCGTGTCCATAATCAGTCGTGGCACGTCGGGGCGCTTACCTGTGATTAGTTCTGTATGTGTAGGGGAACATTCGTAACGTGTCGCCAACGCTCGCGTAGGTTATTGCGGCAGGGCCAGTGAAAGATTAACGCGATGCGCCGATTTCAACTCGGGCCTCGTGAGCCGAATCCTACGCGTGACAGTCGTGCCCCTTACGCTCATGCCTTCTCAAACCAGCTGGGCTTCGATAAAACACCAGAGCGGGCAGGATGAACCTGTTTCAAGCTAATCTGTTCGCAACTTGATATCGTGGATCTGAGCAAGCCGAATGACCACAGGGCTCCGAAACCACGGAAATCCAGACCAAGTCACTACATTTGCTGGGGGCAGTAAAGTGTTTCTTTTTCACACGACGCCGGTGTCTTGTGCACGGGCGGATTCACCATGGCGTCGTGTTTGTCGTGTCGTGGCGTGGAAAGTGTGTGACTTACCCAAATCGTTCAAGAGAAGTCGATTTTCAGCAACTAGAATTAGCTTGCTTTTGGAGATCCTATTCGCTCAGCAATTGTACCGTCATGTTTCGTTCACCTCTGGTGTAACCTGTACGGTCATGTTTCGTTCGCCTCTGGTGTAACCTGTACGGTCATGTTTCGTTCGCCTGTGCTGTAACCTGTACCGTCATGTTTCGTTCGCCTGTGCTATAACCTGTATCGTCATGTTTCGTTCGCCTCTGCCATAACTTGTATCTCCACGTTGTGTTCGCCTCTGCGGTAATCTGACTCGAGAGAGCCCGGTCATGTGACCGTATTGGAGGATGCTTTGTTTGGACCATACTAATGCCTCTGCCGACTGTCGACTGTGATGACCAGCACGGGATCGAAGCGCTAGCTGGTCTGTAATGGTCTGTACTTTTCAGCTCGAAGAACTGCGAGTGCTGGATTCGGAGCTGAGTAGTCTGAAAAAGGGCGCCGTAAGTTGTGACGCCGATTTTGCGTAAGATGTGACTGGGTTTGTGTAACCGCTTTATACAACCCGGTGTTATATTATGCGTAGTTGTTGCAATGATTGCTTTATTTGGGAGAAACCCATATACATATAGCGCATAATGTGTGCTGTTATCTGCTGCTGGTGTCAGGCCTCACGTGGGTAGTTTCATTCCTTTATGTATTTCGAAAGGAGCGACGGTTGGTGTGCCATGTAGGGTACAATGTTCATGTTAGTCCAATGGGAGGGCAGTTTCGCCTTTCTCTCCCTATAATTCACTCAAAGCATAAAAATGCCTAAAAATGCGTGCTCCGGTTACCTCATACGGATGAAATTTTCCTTTCGCCGCTTAAGTCTCCTAAGTACGTCGGATGGACTGGACGGAGGTGGAGGGGTGGGGGTGGGGGTCCTATTATTCGCCGGAAAGTGGGAAATTGTGGCGATGATGATGGCCGGAGTTGGGAACCTAATGATGCTTCATGGCTCGATGGTTAGTGGCCCGTCAGGCTTGGCGGCCCGCGCGTTTGTAATTGCGGGCGTAGACTAATTTCAGGCAATCGTATCTATGAGCTGCGCCGTTGACGTGTATCTACTTCGCAGAGGGTGTACGTGCAGCAGCCTAACAGCCAGGTGTTCTTCCTGAGCCGGCTGCCCGAGATCCGCTCCTCCGTCAAGCAGCAGCTGGCCGAGCAAACCGCGGGCGCCAAGGAGCAGCTGACCCAGCAAACCACGGCCGCCAAGCAGCAGCTGACCCAGCAAACCGCGGCCGCCAAGCAGCAGCTGACAGAGCATACCACGGCCGCGAAGCAGTCATGAACAAGGAGATCGTCCGTTCGAACCAGTGGCTGATGGAGACGCTGGGCACTGCCGACGTGCCGGCCTACGAGGTCGACAAGCGTACGCTGGCCCTGCTGCAGCAGCTGCAGCGCACCGTCGAGGTCAACGATGCGAGGGCGCGCGCGCTGACGGCGCACCTGCGCCGTGCGCGCGCCGAGTACGCGGCCGAGCAGCGCCGCCTGGAGGAGGCGCAGCGCCGGCTGGGTCTGGAGCGCGTGCACCTGGCGGCCGGCTCTCAGCGCACGCTGGCGGCGCTGGCGGCAGCCGCGCAGCTGCTCGGTCTGGAGCGGCCGTGCCCGGCCGGCTTGCTGCTCGAGCATGCGCGGCTCGAGCGCGCTGTCGACGAACTGACGGCGCGGCTCGAACGCGAGGAGGCCGGCCTGCAACGCCAGGCAGCCGACGTCAAGCAGCTGCTGGTGGCGGAGGCGGCGCTGCAGCGGCAGCTTACCGAGGCGGCGGCATCAGCAGCGCGCAGGCGAAGCCGTCATCGAGCAAAAGCTGGCCAAGTCGCGTTTTCTCACCGAGAAGGTCCACGAGTACCGCAATCTGGTGCGCAAGCACGAGGGTGTGCTGGCGCAGCGCGGCTTCACGGACGACCTGTCGCACGACATGGTGTTGCGTCGGTTCGAGTTCCTCACTCAGAAGCGCGGAACGTTGGAGCAGCTGCACACCAAGCTGCAGCAGTTCGGTGAGCTGCCGCCCGACGCCGACCTGGCGCGCGTCAAGATCGCTGAGATGGAGCAGCAGCTGGAGAAGCTCGAAGCGCAGTTCAACGATAAGATCCACGGCATGCACACGGCGTGATGGACGCTGGGCTGGCGTTCGTGGTGGCCGCTGCGGGGGAGCGCGATCATCTTTGGACGTTCAGTGCACGTTAGCAAGCGTTGCGAAGTATGTGATAACTGTTGTGTCTGGGCCGAACTGCACTGGCTGGAAGCGTTTTACGACACGTTTGTTTAATGTGACGCGGCCGCGAGGTGTTCGGAGTCCAATACATTACGCCTTTTCCGTTGACGCTGAATGAATGGTTCACGTTTAGAAGAACCTGGGAAGCCACCAGAGCGCATCTGAGCTCGGCTGTGGCGGGTGCGACGAACCGCTGCGGGACTCAGCAGCGATGCCATTCTGCGCTGGCCCGATCCTTCATCGCGAGCCGATGGCGAACACGGTGGCTCGCCGCACTTGGGTATTCTCGTGAGAGTAGCGCAGGAAACATTGTCTTGGGCTTTTCAGTTATCTGGTCGTACAGCATTTACCCTCTGTCGGACTGGATTAGATGAAAAGTGGACCGCGGTTCAGCGAGGGGCAATGAGATACACGTACGATGGGGCTGGGACAACAAGATCGGAGGTAGTCAGGCTGGTAATCCAGCCTCACATCGTCGTTCCCATGGAAACACGCAAGGAAGCTCATCCGACCAGGTAATACGTTTCCAGACGAGCTGCGTTCAACAGACGCAGGGATGGTCCGGCTCGGCCATCATGCCTGAACAGATACCCTCTCATCGATGGATGCGTCATCGCACGCGCAAGCGGACGGGCGCTGCGTTTGATGCTACGACGCCATAATCCTTGAAATGCTCTGTCCAAGGGCAGCCAAACAAATATCTGGCAACAATCGTATATATATATATATATATATATATATATATATATATATATATATATATATATAAAATAGATATATCTACATATTTATTCAGGGGCGACTCCAGGATTTCGTCAAGTGGGCACCCCAACATTGTAGGTTTAGCGCCTCTCCAACAACAAAAAAACGTCGCATTCCGGCCATAACATTTTAAGATTTTGATATGCTATTTTTTTATTCGGGTACCCGTCTTACCGTGAAAACTAGGCGTGCTACGCACGCACATGCATGGAGCTTATTGATTTTCTCTGCATAGTAAATCCTGCCATTTTGAGGCAAATTTTTTTACGGGAAAAATGGAAAAATGAGCCAAAGTGAGCTACCAAATACCATTGCAACCAAGCACGTATGTTATTCCTAGGTGATTTACAACTAGCCAGCTGGTCGATGTGATCAGCTGATGGCTGATGTCTAATGTAAATGCGTAAAAATTCTTCGGCGCATATCCGACCGCTGCTCTAAGGCTAAGGCACCAAGACCAATAGAGATGAAGCCTGAGCGATCATGGGTGCCGCGGCAGGCAAACAAAGAGGCTTCCGTCAACAAGTATAGGGTCCTTAGAGCAGGCGAGAAGAACCCAAAACCAACGTGGTGGGCCCCTGAACGATCGGGCGTGCCCCGGCAGGCTGACATAAAGGACTCCGGCCAGAGCACAGGGCCCTCTGAGTAAAGAGAAATTACCAAAGACCAGTGTGCGTGAATTAATGTCTCTGGGCGATGGCAGATTTTTCAGCCAAGATTCGCCTTACACACTAAGCTGTATAGCATACCAAAAGAACTAGGTGCATTATCAGTCGTAAGAATCATGGCTGGCCTCAGCACCCTTGCCACGAACGTGATCAGTCTGGTACGCAGCACACAGCGCTATAGATATGTTAATTTTGTACCACATAGTATCCTGCATGTGCCTGATGTGCTTGTAATTGGTTGGTATTAAGCTACAAGCATCAGCTACTTAGGGCATTTTGCCATGTTTTTGTCATGTTGGTTCCATTATACATTTGGCCAGTCTGCGAATGCTGGAAGGTTTTTCATCTGGCCATACAAATGGATCGGGGCATCAACGTACGCCAGCTTTTTAAAAGATTGGTTGGCCCGGATAAGATTTAACCAATACTTTCCTCAACAGTGAAAGGCACGCACAATCGTGAGTGTGGTAGCATTCGACTGCGGTCGAGATGCAAGTTGTATTGTCCGGCATCGGCAGACGCAAGGGAATGTCAGCCACGCCGAACGCGAACCCCGAGACCACCCCCGGCCCGACCTGCCAGAGGGGCCTAGTAGCCGGCGAGGCAGGGGCGGTGCTGAGCGTTACAAATACTGACGCTGCAAGGCGTCAGCAACTTCCACTACAATTACGAAACACGTACGGCAACAGTGGTGGTCATCAGAGATTTCACATCCGTCACACCGGAACAACAAAAGATGCTCCACATGACGCCCTGGCGGTCCAATAAGAACAACAGCTGAACCCGCTGCAGGTGGTCGATTGTTCAGTCACTCTTGTCGACGGTGATGCGTCTAACCTCAAGTCCAAAAAGGCCTGGAGCTTTTGACGGTAAGCTGCCTTGTCCATGTGGACGTGGGTCTTATGATCAGAGGCGATAATAAAGTTCGGGGCAACAGGTCCGGCAAGTGGGTAGTCACATAATTGCAGTCTTAAGCTGATGTACGTGACAGGAAAAGGTCAGAACTAATTCAGAAAACACGATCCTACGATACGGTCTGACCGGCCCCGTGAAATCGCTCCGGGCCGCTCAGAATGATGTCAGAGTGGTGGCGATGAAGCGCTCTGAGGTGGTGTTGACAGGTTCCTCGGTTTTGTCCTCCAAGCATCTTCTGTGAGAGCCACGATTTGAAGAATGTGAGATCACTGGTGACTGTCTTTGTTTTATATCCTGTTTTGCCATTGCATGGTCATTAGAATGCTACTGCAGTCTTGGTCTTGCAAAAGGAACACATGCCACTGTTGAACAAAACATGGCGAGAGTTCAAGCCACACACTGAATAAGCCGTAGTTTCACACGGCCTGTTTGTTTCGCCTTTCCATGGTTTGTTTACGACAGTAACATTGTTGAATTGCTAAGCCAAGAACTTACACCACAATGGAGAGATCCAGTTCAGCGTTTCTGGTATATGTTTTTTTACAGGAGGAAGGGATATGTTAGGATGACTATGTTCACGCAACTAGGGATCAAACGATAAAAACACCGTCCTCCGCATTTCCGATATAAGGACTGCTTTTTTAGCAATTGTGATACGTTCCGATTGTAATGTTTTATGATATATATATATATATATATATATATATATATATATATATATATATATATATAATGTGTTATGATATATAATAGGGCGGTCATAAGCTTTTTTAGGTTTAGTACGTGCCTTTTGATTGTATGTGTAGTATCTATGTATCGTCGAAATGAAAATCATTCACATTCCCCTGTATTATCGTACCCTCCCGGGCTGCTATATGAAATGAACCCCCTGTTTGACCTTGAATAAATAAAGAGATGCCCACCGACCGTTACCACGCGTTTTATGGTTCGCTCCGAACCAGACCGTATGCGAGCTGATCCAGCTCCACAAACACCACCGTATGCATTTCCAGAATGAGCGCTAGCGCTAAGTGCGGGTACCGACTCCGCCATCCGATCGTCAAAGTCCTGGTCGACGGCAAAACTTTGCTTTTAAAGCCGTAAAGTGCTCGTAATGTCCCGCAATGCTTGGCACGCTCCACCCTGCCCTCTGGCGTCCGATGCCTCGCCTTATATGGGCCCCAGCAACAACACAAGGCCATTCGAGCAGGTGGGAACAGCCTGATACTATTATTAAGGGCCCCTGAGCAATTGAGTGCACCCTGGCATGTCGGGCCCCGACAAAAGCGAGTAGAGTCTTTCGGGTGAATGGAAAGAATTCGTGGAGGACCCGTGATCGACCAAGAGTGCCCAAGCAAGCTAGCAGACAGTGCCCCACCGGCAGCGTAGGGCCCTGCAAGAAAATGCAGAGATCAAGGCAACATGAGAGGGTTCTTAGCGACCGGGTTGACCAGGGAAGTAGACATATAGGGTTCCGACAACAGCGTAACGCCTCTAGACAGCGTCATGAGCCTTCAAAGCTCCGAAGCACCGGCCTCTCAATGAATGAATAATAATTTGTGTCTACTCGTGGATCCTCCACTTTCGCTGGTGACTGTTCATGGTTACCTGGAAGCCCAAAGACGTCCAGTCAATTTCGTTGCGTTGTATATCAAAAAGTTTGTTTGCTTGGCCAGCTATGGCCCCTTCGAAGCATATGGGCCGCTTCGGAGCCCAAGGGGGGCACGTCTTCCAGCCCCTCCCTCCGGATCCCGTCCTGTATATATAGCAATTAAGCCACCGCTTCGGAGTCCAAGGGGGCACGTCTTCTAGCCCCTCCCTCCGGATTGCGTCCTGTATATATAGCAATTAAGCCACACCTGACATTACAATTCATTTGTCAGCAAAACTATAAGCGTGTGGTGAT